GTATTCTACAAGTAGTTGTTAATAAGTCAAGCTGGAAAAAAATTCTAAAATTACACAAATTTACGTGTAATCTATAATATAAAAATGAATCGCAAAATGTGATGGTAAGCGCATAACTCAACAACGCCAAGACCAATTTGGCTAAATCTTTTTTTTTTTAATGTTCGTTAAAGTCTAAAGATGGTTTTTACGGCGAGAAAAATTCGAATAATTGCCGGGAACACTCTAAAGACAGCCCTTTTCTATAAGATAAAAGTTGGCATTGAAATTCAATCATAGTTATACTAATAGAAAGTATAGAAGTTTACTTTATTAATCTATTATTCTCGCGTTTATTATTCAGACGAACTAGATTATTCCGATGATCCAATGCCGGAAATATTTGGTTCATATGTAGGTACATTTCCGTGTACATACGTAGATATTGTAAATTCTAGATACATTTAGATAATTGACTACCTACAATCACAAGATCCGATAATTAAGCACAAAAAATGGATATGCACCATTTGATAAAATATTTTAAAGCGTTGCAAATTTGATTTAAACTTTGAAATTTCTGTTCGAAGCAAATTAGCCAAAATTTATGTGATCAAACTTAAGTAGCATCCTTGAAAATAATCAATAAAAACCGATAACACCGAAAACCACTTCTCCATTTTCTTATCCCACGACACAGCTTATCTGCTCAATATAAAAATACAGCAGTAAATAGGTGACAGACAGATGCCTCCTTGTAGGGGAGGATCGAACATGCAGATACCCAAAGCGCGTTGTTGTAAACAATAAACAAACCGTTTGTCTTTTTTCGTGATTAGGTACATGTAACATGTCACAGAATTGCTACCGCGTTGTAAGGAACGTTGAAGGATGGCTCAAAGTGTTGGCATTGAAACTTTCCAGGAGCAGCGTTTATCATCTCATCTTTTTTTTTATATAAAAATGTTATAAATATTTGCTGATTTAAAGATTAATAGCTACGTGAGAGTATTAATGCAGTGGCAGATCTAATCTATTTTGGTAGAAAGGTTAAATATAAAGCAAAAATGAGTCATTGTTAGAAAACGTGATTATTAAGCAATTTGAAATATTTATTTATTATAATTTTACGTGATTTTTGGATTTTACAATTTGTATTTGAGTTGACATGTTTCGCCCAGAGGGCATCTTCATAAACTTGCCCTCTGCCCTCTGCCCTCTGGGCGAAACATGTCAACTCAAATACAAATTGTAAAATCCAAAAATCACGTAAAATTATAATAAATAAATATTTCAAATATAAAAATGGATTACATATTCGCCAAAGAAAGTAATAAATTTATTAAGCAATTGTTTCAATGATTCATAAGGTTTAAGGTAGACTCTTTATTTAATCTCATAAAATTAGTCATTTAATCCTCTAAGCAATAGATAATCGATGTTAGATATTTTGTATTGTCAGTTTTCAGAGAATGGGTTTTGAGATCGATAGGAAGTGACGTTGGCGTTTTTTTCCATATGTAAATATAAATATTTCTAAATTAAATTTTTTTTAAATACATACCTACATAATAATCATGCAGTAATCGAAAAGTTAAAAACGAAAAACATAAACATTAAGTTGTTGTCAAATATTTAATAAAAAATGCCTATAATGCAATACAGGCAAAAGTTAGGTTAGTAAGTGTGGTTGCATACTGTGAGTCAATGCAATTTGCACAACATTTTTGTCACTTCAGCTTGATCACACGTTTTAGTTTTTCTGTTTAGGCAGAAAAAATTAAGACAAAATGTAGACGCAATCATCAGCGGTGCCAGACGATATCATTTTAATTATATAGGAAGCGCAAGTAAACGCGCCATGTTGAAAAGTTTGGTACAGTTTTCTACAGTTAGGGGAAAGTCGTACCGTCACGTAAGTCGTACCTCGGTCTTTTCTCTAACTTGAAGGCACTTTATGCAACTTAAAATGCTGTATTCGGACAGCATGAAATCATACTAGAAGCATATTCTTTAATCAGTTCCCGCCGAATCGGAATTAAGAAGTTATGCGCAAAAATAGTTTTGCTCCTCGTGCTCATCCAATTTCTCGTGGAGCTTGAAAGCATTGGTGGTCAGAAAAACACCACTAAATATGTGTTTCATGTTAAATATTAGTTAAACATCTATCCATGTATTGTTTTCTACATGGATTTTGTTAAATATTCCTTCTGATATATTGTTTAAGGTTGTTTTAACCGGGAAGCACATGTTTGCTAACTCGTACCCCTTTGCGTTTTTTAAGTCGTACCTATAGAACATATGGGACTCAAGGTTTCAGCTGCGCCACGAGGCGGCGCTACGGTTGCGCGCCGAAGATATTTTACTAGCGTGATGAGAACAGGGAAGATAGTATGACTCAGTGCCTCAAATGCAAAATTTGGTTGCATGACAAATGTGTTGGTGTGTCCAAACGAATACAAAATTCCTTGCAAATAAATACATTATTATTAAACTAATATATATTTTCATTTTGATATTACTTTGGCATAGGTACGACTTAGAGTATCGATGGTACGACTTAGGGTACCGGTTTGTTAAGTCGTACCGTTCACACATTTTTGTTAAATTGATGTTTTACAAAAATATAAACATTTCTGATTAATTTTTCTCTTTCGAATTAAAGCTATATTAACTAAAGCAGGTAAATATGTCAAAAAACTGACATTATGTTGCAAAACTTTCAATCTAGGGCCAATTGTATTTTAGAGGTACGACTTGGCCAACCATATTTGTTTAAAAAACGTATCAAAAAGTTTTAGCAAATTTTGAAATTTGATTGTAGGTAATACCTAATTGAGGCAAAAGTTAGGTTAGTTAGTATGGTTGCATACACTGAACTAACGCAATCTTCCCAAAACTTTATTCAGTTGTGCTTGATCACACGTTTTTGCTTCTTTTCTTAGGCAGCCAAAAACCGCCGCCATTGTTTCCAACAATTTGCTCACACATCATGTGTTTCCAACATTATGTCTACATATTTAACTAATATGCTTTGCTCAATATGCGCGCATATATCTGTTTTCATAGGAGCCATCCTCGACTCATAAAAGGACATAAAAGGGCTAATAAAGTCCACGATTGTATTCCGCATGATGCGTGCTCTGTGCGCGTAAAAGAGCGCAGTGCCTATCCGAATGGGCCCCCGGATGTTATAAATCACACGATTTAGGATAGCAAAAAGTCAGTTTTAGTGAAGACATTGTTTACATCCATCAGCGCAGCCGGCGCGCGCGCGCACGCGAGATGGTGAACCCGTTCGGTTGCGAGCGCGCACCAAAAACCAACACCACCGCGAACCCAAACCAGCAATACACGTATCCCGAGACTTCCAGAAAACGCTATTTTTGTAAAGCGTTTGAAAATTCCCACATTCATAACAGTCAAACACAAATCGCTCCAAATTCGAAATTCGCATCCGGCCCGCGTGATTTATTCGACTTTTAGCGATGAATCAAGCCTGAAATTCAGCAACAAGCAAATTTTTCATCATGCGATAAGATAAATATTTCAATTTTCACCTAAACGTCCTCAGTATTTCTCTATACCTTGCGTAATGCCCACATCGTTCGTAAGTCGATATTCAGCGACGACGAAACGACGCAACGACGCTCTCCCAGCTTAATTACGCACAAAAACGGCTTTAATTATAAACAAAGTTGTAACATTTTTTATGCGCTCCGCACACGCTCTCGCGAAGCAGAGAGAAGAGAGAGCAAGATTCGTGGGGCTCGCTTGGAAATGTGACGCCAGCACAATTGTATAAACTATAAACTATGTAAACGTAAACAAAACGTTCGGCGGCGGCGGCCGGCAGCGTACGGCGTGGTATTCACATGTGACTGGAATTGTTGCGTCGCGAGATGACTAGAGACACACTTCGCTCCCAAAAACACATTGTATACCTCGTACCAAGTTTTTGATGTCATTGCGCGCGTTTTTATTATTTCGCAAGCTGCTGGCCAGTGAGGCAATGTTGGCAAAATGTTGCGCGCACTAAAATTAGAAATATGAATGCTGTGAAAAAAAACGCAATCGTGGCAAGAATTTCCGTCTGGAAAACGTCGGCCCGCATGCTTCAACACCTTTGCCGGCCCGTGAGCGAGAACCATCCCCCGCTGATCGCGTAAACACTGCACGCGCTGGAAAAAATACCTTTATGGCTTTCGCCGTGCCGCTCGCCAGACTTTAATCGGATATAAATTTAGATTGTACATTGAGCAGAAGCACAACTTGGAAACCTTTTCACGTAAATACGTTTACACCGATATTAAGCGATAATTTCACAATTTATATAAAAAGCATGACTTAGGTCACTTTAATTGCACACGCATAAAAAATATCAGCATAAAACTTGGTTGGCATTTAACTTTTTCGCGGTGTGTAAATTGAGTTGATTTTAAGAGTTTACAAAGTGCGCATGCGCGTCACGCTTAAACGATGCTGACGAGCAACTCCCAGTCCCGCCTCTTGTTGTAAGAGGCGTTGAGCATCACGTTCGCCAAACAACGCTGACTCATGGCATCAGTTTAAGATTAAAACTTCTAATTAACAAATTATGTTCATTTTGGTCTTTTAAAGCTTACTCATCTAAAGTTAATTGCGTTAAAGTTTTCAGCTGGTCATAAATAAGCTGACGTTGGTATAAGTTGAGTAGCATTTTGAATCGAGTGACTTAGGATGTATTTTTGACGTTGTTGATGATTTAGCAATAAAATTCGTGCTGATTAGTTGAATTGGTGATGAATGGAGTGCATTACGGTGTGGTTGGCGCTGAGACAGAAGAGGAGTGCGTATGGAAATCATCCCAATTCCCACTCTCCTCAGCTCATTAACTCGCCGAGAGCGCACATGCACGCGGCGCGCCGCTGCTCAGCCAAAAGAAACAGCAAAACGCGTCGCCTCCGAGGGAAGAGACGCGACGACGCGGAATCAACTTTGCTCGTGCGCGCCACTCTCAGTACGATCGGTAGCGACTTTGCGTCAACATTAACTCCACTTATCTTCAACTTTTGAAATTTTTTCCACCAAATCTCCATCGGTCGCACAAAAGACGAATAAAACCAATCCGAACGGACGCGCACCACCGCCGCGGCGACTTGTACTTGAATCGTGTAAATTGTGCTGTGCCGCGCCGCAGCCGCCATCCGAATTGTTTGTATATAAAACTTTTGTATACAATATACATAATATTTGTGCGTTCTCCGCGCCGGGATAGGCGTATCAAATGTTTGCGCGAGCAATACGAAAAGTCACTGGAAGAAAACTCGTGTTTGGAATCGCGTAAATGTTTACGGCGTAAAAACACAATCTGCATATACATATATTTACATCACCATCGCGCGCATTATGATGAAGGATCAGCAGTTGACTGAGGTCAGCGGTGCCAGCCAGTTGCAGCCCGTCCTGCATCAGAGCATCAACATTCAGCAGACGTTGCATCACCTGCATCTGCATCAACATTCAGTCATTTTGTCAACCGATCAACAGAGTCAAGTGCAGCAACAACAGCAACATCATGCCTCCCCACAAATGGACGACAATATCCCCGAGAGTACCGCTGTGGATGATTGCAAACCATCATCGGAGAAGAAAGCAGGCATGCGACGACAAGAGAAACCCCCTTATAGTTACATTGCGTTGATTGTGATGGCGATACAGAATTCGCCAAGCAAACGATTGACGCTGAGCGAAATCTACAACTTTCTACAACAACGCTTTGCGTTCTTCAGAGGCTCCTACCAGGGATGGAAGAATTCAGTAAGACATAATCTCTCGTTGAATGAGTGTTTCATCAAGTTACCTAAAGGGTTAGGTCGTCCTGGTAAGGGTCATTACTGGACGATTGACCCAGCGAGTGAAGTCATGTTTGAAGAAGGCTCCTTCCGACGGAGACCGCGTGGTTTTCGGCGTAAATGTCAAGCGATGAAGCCACAATACAATCCGGGTTATTTCAATCAAGTGGGTTGTGTGGTCAGTGGTCAACCGAGTGGTTATGACCCGGCGGGGGTCGTACCTTCACAGGATTACAATGCTTGTGTGTACAACACGCCTCCAACTCAGGTGTCGGCTGTGACCGCGTCACACCTGAGCACCTATGACTATCAGGTGTATCAACAGTGCGATCGTGATTGGGCACCGCCGCCGCAAGGTCTACTACCTACCTATCCGGATTCTTCTCTGTCTACCGCTTATATGAAGGCACCGATGAGTCCGATCCAGGAGCACCATCAAGATGGTATCACACCACCTCCACCATCTTCAGGTCCGCCATCATCCGTCGTTGATTTTCAAACGTACAACTTCCAGTACGGTCTACCGTCGAACGCTGGCTCTGAACGTAAGTGAAATTGTTTCTGGCGCCTTGTTGCAGTTGTAACCCTAGACTTGACGTGACATTTGACATTTTTGACGCACACGTGTCAAATTGGGTGGGCAGACATTACCGTGGAGTTAATTGCACGTTTACTCTTTTGTTTTCATAGTGATGCGTACGGGACAGTCGTTGCACTGTGACAGGAAGCCGTACTTGTCACCGCCGCCGCCATCTTCATCAGCGCCGTCGTCGTTGCCGTCACCGCCGACAACGACCAACAACTTCTATGAGCATCAAGTCAAATATATGCAATAGGAAATCGAATACTCGACCATTTTGTACATACTATTACGTATTTATTAATTACTTATGATTAATATTAGAGTTTTACCAAAAAATACAACTAGTGTTACCAAAAAATTTGAAGTTCGAGATCAATTAGATGTAATTTCAACGATTATGATTATTATTACTCGATATAAGTTTGTTGTGTATGATTAAGTTAAGTCTTAGAGCTTAGGTTAAGTCTAAATCAATAAACAGTCGTTTTTCAAATTGCTTGCTCAAGTTTTTTAAGTTGCTGCACACTTTGCTCAGCTCGACCTGCGCCGTCATTATCGTAAAATTTCAAGTTTTCCAAGTGTGCGCCCCGACGAGGTAAGTATTCGCCGCATAAATCTTAAAAACCACTCCAAAAGCAAGACCCACTTGAACTCACGTTTCAAAAATTCACGACGTAATCCGTAATCGACGTAAAACAAACGCTGTGATTCACCTAAATCGGTACAATGTAAATTTTTCCGCATTCTAGGAATCACATTTTTATAAATAGGAATTTGTGGTTTTTGTTATGATATCATTTTCATTCAAAAATATATTTGATGGCTATGAATGAATATTACACGCTGGATTCGGAAGGAAGGATGATTGCATTGATTTCCGTATTATTTCCGAATTTGTGCGCCTCATGATGTGACTTAACGGATTCGCAGCGGTTACATGACCGCAAATGGGAGTATATATAGCGTGTGACATTATGGAAACTGGATGCGATAACATGCGTAATCGACCACAGCATTAATTTCACGTTTAAGAATAAACAATGCGATATCGACATCTTAATTATTGCGTACAAAGGCGAAACGTACACCGCGAGGTAACTCAAGTAGAGAATATTCATGTTTCCAGCACGATTTCAGCCGAGATTAGAAATATTATGCGCGTGTGTATAATCAGCGGGAAAAATATGGGCCGAAATATGTTTGGAATTTGTAAAAATGAGCGGCGATAATGGGGCATAACTTAGCCGGCGCGATGAATGCGATGTGAATGTTTTTTGATCCAGCGGCGTGCGGGTGCTGCTAAATGGAAGGCGCGGTTATAAATAGTGAGTAATTGAGCCGAACACGAAAAGGAGTCGCTGTTCGGGATTCGTGCTCCTGCTGGATGCGAGTTACGAGCTGTTGACGACGGCACTCTAGCGCGCACGCTGACAGCCATTCCGAGAGCAGCCCGGCGCGATAATTTGCCAGCGCTGATTTTAAGTAGTCGCACACAGAGAGTAGATTATCGCGTCGCTCGAACAAATCGCTCACTTGTTGGACACGTTTTCATAGTGAGCGGAATTTCCATGTTGCGTGAACTGTCATAAAACAGAGCATAAAAATAGCGGTGGAGAAGAGTAATTTATCATGTCAGGCTGAATATTATTAGGAAAATTACAGTTACCTGCAATTTTTGTTGTAAACACAACATTCAAACAAAAATTTCATTTGCCAAGATGTATTTACAGTAAATTAAATATAGGTAAATCTTGCTAGTTAATCAATAATTATTACTGGAATCGTATTATTTCGCAGAGTTCAATTAACCTTTTTACCTTTAAAAAAAAATATGATGTTACATCTGATATGTACGTACGTACGCAACCAGTTATCCAATTCGTACTTTTGCTTAATTTTGGAAAAACTTTAATATCACAATTATTTATCAATAAATAATTAAAAATTTATATTTAACAGCAACTTTTATAGCTAATAAATAGTTGTAATTCATAATAATTGTTAAAATTCCTCTTGATTTCTATAAAAACATATAAACTGAGGTTATGTGGTACGCGTATAGCAACTTCTTTGTCTTTTACATAATGATAAATCAATATTCTACCTACTTCACATGATTCTATATCTAATCTTCCTCATCAAATATAGTAGTCCTAATAATATCACCGTTCATATCCAGATCCAGAAAATATGTGTTTAACATGCCTTTTCCTTTGACATCTTGATACTTGTTAAACGTGCAGCTTATGTTATTACGCCTAAACACCATTTCGGTACTCTCAGCGACTTGAATCTTTCCGGGTTCACCGCATGAATCCATGCGTGATGCAAGATTAACACAATCACCCCAAATGTCATAATGTGGTTTATTAGTGCCCACAACACCAGCTGTGAGCCTTCCATCGCAGATTCCTAAAAAGATAATTGATTAATTTATTTAATCATTAATTTATTTATGTAAATTGCTAACCGATTCTCAGCGAGTAATTTCGCGCCATTTCTTTATTATGTTCCTTGACCGATTTCAAAATGTCCGCTGCAAAATCCGCCAAATCAATCAAGTTTGTATCAGATGCCATACGTTTGCGTGAACGCACACCAAACTCAGCAGCTTCCTCAGATTTCTCCGTCCATAATTTCTTACCGGGCGCCAATCCAGAACACGCAACGTATGTCTTTAAATTTGCCAACTTAATCTTCTCTATTTTACCCTTATACTTATCAGATAGAAGTATACGGTCAAAATCTGATATTATCTGATTCATTATAACCATGTATAGTTTCTCTTCGTCATCCGGCAGAGGGTTTGAATCGATAACAGTTGCAAACATGACTGCAACTGTCTCATAGCGTTCGTAGTATAATTTCTGCCTATTTTTATCGCCTTTGCGCTTCAAATACTTACGCGCTACATCATAAGGCATCACATTTTCCAACAAATGCAGTATTTCTTTGCGCGCTTCCACCGATGACGCCTTGTCTTGAATTAATTGCAAATGCCATTTGTAATCCAACCGATTGAGATAATCCGCTTGACGGTCGATGCAATGTAGAGTTGTGGTGAGGAAGATAATGTTGATGATGTGAGCGACGGGTGGCTGCATCATGTAGTGGAAGGACGGTTCGTTGTTAAAGTAATCGTAGGCATAGATCCATATCCACAAACAGTACATGGCAGTGACAATTGTTCCATAGAGGAATTTGATCCACATGTGTATGTTGAGAAAGAGAAAGCTCATAATCAATATTAAATTGATTATTTCCGTGATATTCTGGAAGCAAAAAAGCGAATGTGAGTTTTTTTAAAATTTTTATATATAGCAAGGAAAATAAACTTTACTTTTTGTCGCAAAAATTGCACTTACAGCGTGAAAATAAGGAATAAAAATTGTTTTTTTTATTAAAAACTAGCTTTTACCCGCGACTTCGTCCCGGTAGTGTTTAATAACAATGTAATTCGTTTTTGCTCTCTTGTCCTAGACATAGTATGAGGCAATTCTATCAATAAGATTCACAATTTTATTTTAAAGAAATTAATTATATAAAGAATTGCTAATAATGCACTTCAGCGCGCCATCTCGGATTCAACTATTTAACTATAACTATGATTGAATCTCAATACCAACTTTTATCCTATAGAAAAGGGCTGTCTTTAGGGTTTTCCCGGCAATTATTAGAATTTTTCTCGCCGTAAAAACCATCCTTGGACTTTAACAAACATTAAAAAAAAAGAATTGGCCAGATGGGTGTAGGCGTTGTTGAGTTATGCGCTTACCAACATATTTTGTGATTCATTTTTATATTATAGACTTCTATAACTAAGTCATATTCAACAGCTAGTTATAAAATAGAAATAAAATAATCTTACCCATGGTTGTAGGCATTTTTCATTCTCCTCCATTGTAATAGTTCGATGTGGATCTTCCAATAATTTAAAGTTATGGTAGTCGCAGTGTATCAATTCAATGACAAAGCAGGCAATGAAAATCGCACTTAAAACCCCATACACTGTGATTCTAAGCAGAGTACTCTTAGCAAACACGTTGGAAATTTTATAATATGTACGGGGAAGTGTGTCACCAATTTCCAAATTGTCAGCTTCTTCGTTAATCGGGCCATGGTGTGTGCGCCGAGGTAGCAATAATATAGGTGCAAGAAGCGACAGCGCCAATGCGGTGAAAATGCTAAGCAGCGTTGTATAATGCCATTCCGGTAGCGCAAGAAAACGAATTACAATAAAGCAAAGTAGAACCAGTAAAACACTGACTATGTAATATTTATACAGTGGATCATCCTGTAATATATAGCTGCGCTCAGTCTGGCAGTTTTTAAACACCAAAAATAACGGATTGATTTGCTCTTCTTTGAACCATTGTCTGAAATTAATCAATAATCATGTGTAATGTTTGTAAATTACAAGTTATATATTATAACTAATTGCCTATTTTGCCAGATTATATTCTAACCTTCAAAATTTATTTTTAAGGTTAGAATCTTATACCAGCGGCAACAAATATGAAAATACTAACTGATATTTAGTTAGTGGCATCTTTTTAATTTCTTCCTTGATTGTATCATCCGTAGTCTCTTCATACTTGCTGAATTCTTCCATACTAGTGACCTGCCCGGATCGTCGCTCACTATCTTTACGTGGTTCTTTTTTTGGTTTCTTGGTATTTTGCTCTTCTATCAGCGGTCGAGTATCAATGCTGACATTTTTATTAAATCGACTTGATTTGATTCGCGATGATCGTGAACTTGTACATGTGCTTTTAATATCGTAAGCAATCGCACAATCATAAACGTCTGTGACGTCCGTCATCTAAATAACAAATTTATTATCATTTTTAATATCAAAACGTTGTATCTAATGCTTTCATACCTCTTCGGGTGTTATAACGTAAGTCATCGTTGTGCTCGACGCTAATTTCTTATGAAATTCAATTGCATTTGTTTTATAAACAAAATAAACGTCAGTGGAATCAGTTGAGTCAGTTGAATCTTTCTTCTCTATGTGTTTCATGGGACCAGCAGTGCCAAGTGATGGATCAAGCGCCACCAATGCTTTGCGCCTCATCAACTCGTCCATCGTTGCCTGTGTGATGTGAATTTTGCCAGTGAAACCAGTGCTTTCCATCGTGTTGGCCAGTTCAACGTCTTTCGACCAAATCTCAAACTGCCATTTGGTGCGTCCGATGAGAGTTGAGTAGATGTTGCCAGTATGGATACCAATTCGCATGTTGAGATCAATATTGTAACCTTTTGCGACGACTTTAATTCGTTTGATCATTTTCAATCCAAGTTGCACACACGCGTTAGCGTGGTCGGAATTCCGCTCGGGTTCTAAACCAGACACGCAATAGTAACAATCACCTAAGAATTTAATTCGCATCACGTGCAACTTCTACAATTAAAAGATGATAAAGTTAGTAGTGGAGTATTGGAAGCTTCGATAATACTTACTTCTGAATCTTCGTCGAAACCACCAAATAAATCGTCTAGGACTTGTACAAATTGAGAAGCGGGAGTGATTTGCGTTGTCATTGCTGTGTAATTCACGATGTCCGCGTATAGAATTGTTACGTTCTTATGGGGCTTAATAATCTTCTTCATGTTCCTATGAACAAAGATTAAAATTAAAATCAATTATTCTGGGAAATATTATAAATGTAAATATCAGTTTGTTTGTTACGGTTTCTGGCAAAAACTCCTCAATCAATTTTTATACAACTATAATATAAAAATGAATCGCAAAATGTGTTGGAAAGCGCATAACTCAATAACGCCTTGACCAATTTGGCCAATTCTTTTTTTAAATGTTCGTTAATGTCCAATGATGGCTTTTACGGCGAGCAAAATTCGAATAATTGCCGGGAAAACCCTAAAGACCCTTTTCTATAGGATACAAGTTGGCATTGAGATTCAATCATAGTTATAGTTAAATAGTTGAATCCGAGATGGCGTGCTAAAGTGCATTATTAGCAATTCTTTATATAATTAATTTCTTTAAAATAAAATTGCGAATCTTATTGATAGAATTGACACATACTATGTCTAGAACAAGAGAGTAAAAACGAATTACATTTTTATTAAACACTACCAAGACGAAGTCGCGGGCAAAAGCTAGATATTATGTAGGTAAATTCACTATTTTATTTTAATAAAATGAGAATTGCACTTATCGCCGCCTCTGATTGAATTATTCTACTATCAATTTCATCCCTTATTTATCACTCTTTAAACCTCAATTTCTTATATTTTAATAATTACCGTGTTACTTTCTTATACATAAATAACTTACTCAAATGGTTTGGTAATTGTGCCATTCATGTGTTCCTGCAGAAAACTCAACTTTGTTTTCTTAGGGTCATTCGGCTCCTTCTCATATAAAGCCAGTGGCAGAATAGCTTCCAACAAATTCCGCTGCTGTTCCTGCTGGCCTTTGAGTTGAATCTTCTCAATCGTCTGATCCTTCTTCACCAAGAAACTCCTTCTATTCATAATTTCATTCATGTAGCGAAAGTAACATCCCATTGCGTTAATGCAACCGAAATAAAGCAATTCGATCGCTAGTTTGCGCATAAGTGCGCCGGTTTCAAAGTCTCGAAACGTAATGGTTCCACAAATCGTCAGGTGTGTCACGGTCACTATTGCTCCGGTTATAATTGCTGTCATCATTTCCTCAAACGCAAAAAATATATAGCACGCAATAATTAAATGAGTGGTAAAAGGTGTTCGCATATTTTCATCATATTGCAGGTAATGATACAGCGGTAGGAAGGTATCCAGTGCGTAGATTCCTACATACGCGACAAAAGAAGCAATAACTATCTTTGTTTCTTCAATGAAAAAGATGGCTATAAGTGGTATCACTGCTGTGATGCCATAGCAGTATATATCAGGTGTGATGTCTTCTAAAACATGGTCGTACTAAAATTGTATTCAAGGATAAATTTGGTTAGACATAATTTTTTATTTGATGAGTATATGTTGTAGGCAACTATACTTACGTTTTCAAAGTATATGACCAGGGAATACGATGTGCTTAGTAAAAATTGCAAGATGAGAAAAAGTGAAAAGTAACCATATTGTAGGCGACGAATGTATTTCTTGTACAACTCTTCAAATAGTACAAACTGATTCTAAAATATGTAAATTAATACAAAATCAATTAGAGATTATTTCTAGAATTGATATGATGTTAACTAGAAAAACGCGTGTTCACAATTGAATTCAAGTACTTAGATAGATTAAGATTGCAAAATTTAAGGAAAAGCATTTTTTTGAGATAATTGGGTGTTGCTACTGATAGCAGTGTAAAGTGTACTCTGAAATATACACTATTAAAATGATTGCAATGGTTGCATATATTCGCAGCACAGCTGACACTGACAGTTGAAAGTATACCTACTATTCATAACCTATTTGTAACTAACATAACTATATATTGATTGCAAAAGAACTGATCTAGCTATATTTTGTATTCTTGTAATCTTGTATGAATATGATTTCATATTGCTGTGAATTAGGTACATATTTGAATTTAATAACTCCCTAAACTTTGAGACTTTCATGGTAACATATGACAAAATCCAAAATTCTGCACAATATCTTGGGTTATATATGCGAGTAACTAATAAAAAGTGAATATTTATTATTCCAACTAATATTGTAACTATCTGTTGTTATTCTTTATAAATACTCAATAAATTTTTACATACCCTTAGATAATCCAAACTCCATCTTGGAGAAGGGTTATGTTGATCCGCCTTTTCTTCGAATGATTCCTCGAAAGTAAATCGCGCGGAAACACTCTCTTCGTCCATTTTTTTTAAAGTTCACATTAATTATAACTCACAACAATCTCGATACGCGTGACTGCCAAACACCAGCATTACGTGCGGAATAGACAATTGTGCTAAGCTATAATTGTGGCTATAAGCGTAGTATTAATTGTTTTCTTATCAATTAAGGTAGATAAAATTTATTTATCTCAACCATCGTTGAATCACCAAAATTTTATAATCGCTAGTGTTACCTAGTGGTGGACAGTCACACTAGCCAGTATATTCTAAAAATAGCTTATCTTGGAGTAGGGCGCCATCTTACGTAGAAAGGAATAACTATTACTGCCAAGTTTAATGGAAATATGAAGAACTGGAAGAACTAGAATATTTAGCCACTAACAGGTGAGTGTGTTTTACACCACGCCTATCATGTTTACCTGTAGAATGTCTACTATTGGTTAAGGTTATTAATGGCGTTTATTATCTATTGTTGCAGACAATTGATTTATGTATTTTTGTTTGTACAATTAACGACTTAAAAGTTTATTTTAGTAATATATTTGTTTTAGAATTCAGTCTCTGTTCATTCTTTGAAGAAGTGTTGTTTTTACGCATAATTTCACGCATTACTTTTTTCATTTTCTATAATTAAAAACGCAACAAATAGCACATATATTCTTATAGAACAAACCATCAATGACATTCATTTTATGAAATGAATAAAATATTGCGTAAGTTTATAAGAATTGGTATTAGCATGTAGTAATAATTTAATTAGTAGTAGTAATTTCTTAGAAATCTATATATAAGAAATCGTATATAAAAGAAAAATATTATAGTTTTAGATTAATATAGTAATACATAATCTATATTTGTGAACAGGACGCAAAAGGAGTTTTATTATTTATGTAATTTTCTTTTCGTGTTGCGAACTGCAAAAGTCAACTGTTTTAATTATAAAATACGGCCATTTTGTATAGTCACAGTAAGCAACGCCCACAATGTAAAACCACGCCAACGCTGCTTTTCGTTTTATTAATAATGTGCTTTCAATTCAAGCACATTAAGCGAGAGTTATTTTTAATCTTCCTGCTTCAGGTTATTTTGAAAGTTGTATGCACTTTACTTTTGTGCAGCTAATACTGAGGGCGCTGCAACTGCTAAAGCTCCTTTTACACTACCAGTTTCATTCAATTTCAAATTGAAATGTTTATTAACCTGTAAATATCCGTTAAACAAATCGTTGGTAATTTTTAAATAACACATCATACATTTTATAATTTAGTATATTAAAGCCAATATATTAATAATATGATACGAAAAGCTGCAGAACGTAATGTGAGCTTTTGCCAAGCTTTGACGCATGCGTTATGAAGTCGTGAACAGATGCCGAACGACCCGAATCCACAGAATTTGCGTTTGCGCCACTCGCGCCTTCGTTCTAAAAGCTCTCTTGCACTGGCAGCAGTCAGCTGTTGTTTCCGTGCGCTGAGCGCGATTAAATAAGAAAGCGTTACCGTGTCCGCCGTAATAATGCTCTTTATTAAGTGAAAGACGTGAATCGGTGCAATTTTCTTTCTTGTTTCGCTTTGGTTTGATCGTATTTCGCACGCATGCATGCGGGATATCGATTTCAGTGCGCTGCGAACGAGGGTGAATGGGGTGAACGATGTGAATCATCCCCCACGGTTGTTGTATTTATATACACATATCAAGGTGCAAAAAATGCCAGAAATGTAGTGACTGTCGTTCAATCTCACAATGGTTTATTTTAAAGACACGATGAACATGCTTCCCGAACCGGAACAGTTCGAGAAGTGTTTTCACGAGTTATTTCGTCTTCATCCAGATAATCAAAGGTAACGAAATTAAGTCAAGAAATAGAATTAATTTATTTTTATTGACTGTAGGCTATAACTGACTGAAACGAATTTTTTAAATACATAATTCTGTTTTAATTTAATGATAATTAAGATATAACTGTGCCGCCAAAAACGCACATTTCTTAAATTAACGCGTGACGCGCATGCGCCATATGTTTTCTAAATGTTGCATATGAATATGCGCATGATCACATCGGTTTTTATTTTATTGCCTTAGTAGGAAACTACTTATTTATCCAATCAGATTTCACAAAGAATTAAATTATTTTAAATTTATGTTGAAATAGTAACCATCGTACTACTTTCTAATAATTAATTTAAAACATTGTAATTTCATAGGCGTCAAGAATGGAGCAAACTAAAGAAAAAGTCCACCAAAGCGCAATCAAAACTACGCTCGAAGTTAGAACTCCTCGAAACCGAGTACTACAGCCCCCTAGAGATGGAACTGCCCGGAAACGCATCGCATTTCGCGATGTTCGCCAGCATCCGCATCACGGTACTCGACCGATGGATCCGGCATGCAAACCACGAGTACCTGCAAAGCAGTGGCAGTACTCCCTTGTTGGATCCAAGCGAAGGCGATAGCGAAACCGAGGATAATACGCAAAGCAGCACGTATGTGCCGTTGAAAGTCTCCAAGATCGTTGGCCTAGGCTTGCGATCGGTGTTTGAATTAATCAAAGAGAGTCGAAATTCACATCCGAAGTTATGCACGAAGGCGTTAATGGCGTTGCTGGATGTATTGCAAGGACAACAACCGGAAGGACTCAAATGCGAGCCGAGCGATGTGATTGACCCCTTGTTTGATTTATTATTGGATTTGGCGACGCTGCATGGACCGGAAAGTACATATCCGAATGATGGCAGCCATCTTACAGCCATTGCATGCGCATGTCTGTTATCACTGGTTGTTGTTAGGGGTGATACTGGCAAGTATTTGGCGGCCACGGCGGCGCTACTGATGTGTCCGAGAGCATTAGCACAACAAAATATTCAAGTACGTATATTGCATACATACGAACATATAAGTTAGGTTATGTTATTATTATCTTAACTTTTTTAGATGCCAATGGTTTTAACATCTCTGCAGAGAAGTGTGCATGGTGTATTGCTCGGAAAAGTGGTGCGACCCGAGTGGATAACTCATGGTGTACCACACAAATCGCTGATTGAGACATTTCAAATTAGAATGCCAGTTGAAATTCAAAATATTGTGCTTACGGTGAAGTCACTAACCTGCGACGGGCAGTATTTATATCTCTTCACTTCAAAAGGACTCTTCAAAATTGGTTCTGGTTACGGTGGGACGCTCAAAGGTCATGTCTATATCTGGAAACCGGATTTCTATCCGAATGATAAAGGATTTTTACTGTATTCATCCGTAAGTGCAAATGGCCGCCATTTTCTGTACCATAAGTTTGTCACATATACATTTTTCTAGGGCAACTTGTACATGAAGTTATCAGGCCGACGTGGTATAGAATTTCTCACTGTGGAGAAACAAAACCTTTTAATAAGTGGTTCTGTGCCTTTACACACTCGTGATGCGATGGCGAGCGTTGTTTTCTCGGATGGTGAACATTTAGGCACAATATCACCAGCAAAAGATGTAAGACTCTACAAATTTTTTAAATAATTGTTTTATTTTATCGTGTTATTAATATTAATCACAGGATGGTTTTGTGGTGCGAATGTTGAACCATTCAACGATCCCTGCGGCATTGGTAACCGAACTACCCTTAAAACTCGCTCGTAAATGTGTGGACGCGTTGGGCGTAGCACCCTACGAGGATGACGTCCAGTGCACCACTGTAAATCCAGGCAAAGACGAAGAAGTCGCTACCATATGCGCGGGGAAAGAGTTTGGTTTGATTAAAACCGGAAACGGAAAAGTTCTCTACAGTGGCAAAGCGGCGTCATTGGGTATTAAACAGGCCGGTTTGAGGACAAGCAAATGGACCGAGTTAACACTAACGAAAGCTCCAAAAGTCACGCAAGTTTGCGTTGGACATGATGGCCTCCACGCGATTATTCTCACCGAAGACGGAAGTGTGTTTTTCGCGGGAACGGCACGCCGAGGGGAAGATGGTGATATGTGTAAAGTCCGTCGACAACCCAAGCCGGTTAAACCTAAGAAAATGATTAAAGTTGACGGACAACAAATGGTTTATGCTGCGTGTAACAATGGCACAACGGCGTTGATAAACCGTGATGGCGAATTGTTTATGTTCGGCAAGGATACGACATATGCAGATGGCGCCACTGGTTTGGTCAATAACTTGAAAGGGGAATTTGTTATTCAAGTTGCGCTGGGTAAAGCGCACGCGATTGCTTTGACTAGCAAAGGTCAGGTGTTCTCTTTTGGGATTAATAACAAGTATCAATGTGGCAGAGATTTTGTTCCGCCAGCCAAAGAAGATGCTGTGCCTGCTATAGTAGCAATGGATACCTGCGGTAGTCATGAAGATCAGGAAGCCTGCGACGAGGAGGAGATTAATCGTGCCGTGGAAGAAATTGAGAATCAAGCTGGCGGATCAGACGCGAATAATGCCGGCGGTGCAAACGAGGGTGGCAATCAGGCAATGTGTCCACCCGGCATGCATTCCTGGTTGCATGACATGTGCATGGTTTGCACTGCATGCAGAGAATGTACAGGTTACTCCATAAGTTGCTTATCTTCGATTAGACCGGATCGAAATCCAGGCCAGTGAGTACACATCATGTGTAAAACTTGTAATATGTAACTAAATGTTGATTTATTTTGTTTCCAGAGAGTGTGGTTGTGGTGAAGGTGATTCCGGTTGTGCAATCTGCGGTGTTTGCAGAATATGCGCGCAAGAAAACGTAGACAACTCAGAGTTAACCATTTTAGAACCGAATGGAGCTATCAATTTAGCAGGTATGATGCGTCTGGATTTAATTTTTCGTGATAAAGTCAAAGAACTAGTCCAACCGCGTCAAGGCGCCAAATTGCAAGAACAATTGCAACGTCGTTTGGACGAGAAAAAGGCCCGCAGTCGCAAATCAATGGCCGGATCAAGTAAGCAATCTTTAAAGATGAAATCGACAAGGTCTCTGAATACTCTACCTACGCCGACGCATCGTCCGAGTGCTTCGCTTCGTCAGGGAATGCAGTTAGTGAAAGAACAACCAGGTGGCGGAGGTGGTTCCGATGTCGAGCGTGAAACAGCTCGCATTGCTTGTTTACCACCTGGTAAAATATCTCTACCAGTGGACAGTCCGGTTGTTCAGATTGCGTGTGGATTGCATCATAGTGTTTTATTGTTACAAAACGGACAGGTTTATAGTTTTGGTTCGAACCAGTACGGACAGCTTGGTTGCGGAGATATCTTAGCGAAAGGCAACGTGCAACTAGTGAAATTACCTTGTAGTGCTGTACACATCGCGGCTGGGAGCAATCACACTGCCATTTTGACATCTAAAGGTGAAGTGTTTACGTTCGGGAATTATCAAAAGGGACAGTTAGGCCGAGTGCCACCGTCCTGTTCGCCTCAGGACCAACCGGGGCAAAGTTCCGCCAAGTATCAAAACCCGCGCACGCCGTGGTATTCCATCCCAGGCGCTATACCAAATGTTGGGCCTAGGCATGGAAGAAGAGCCACGTGGGTAGGAGCGTCGGGAGATCAAACTTTTTTGAAGATTGATGAGAGTTTAATTAATACAGTCAGTTTGTCCAAGTCAACAGTCACCGCAAACAAGAATTGCATTAGTAAGTATACCAACAAAATGGCCGACGTAAATTAACTTGTTCGTTTGTTTCTAGTGTTGATACCAAATCAAGTCGAGAACACTTCCAACTTCAAATGTTTGGTGATCAACAAACGTGATGGCAATTGCAATTCGTTTAAAGGTAAAGAACAATCTGATTTCTACAATAAGAGTGTTTGTCTCGACCCGATTTACAACGTGCTTTGGTGTTACAATCCGGTAAACCATGAGATTTCCTATTATAACATAATATCATCGGAAATACGCGTGAAAAGTTCCAACAGCATTGAAACAGACTACAAACTACTCACAGATGTTCACTCTATGACTCCATTGAATCATGAAGAACCCCCTTCGGACAATTTCAACTTGTCTACGATTTTAAACCCTGAACTAGCGCTACCCTTTGTATCTAATTGTCATATCAGCAGATTGCAAGCGTCGATTAATCTTCTCTGCTGTTTGGATACGCTAACAATTGCACATGATCTACAAATGTCCGCCATTAAGGAAGAAACTGAGGAGAGAACGTTAGTATCCGGTAAGCAATACAGCCGTGAAGATTTCCAAGCAGTTAACCGGTTTGAAAGTCATGGGGGTGGATGGGGTTACTCTGGGCATAGCATCGAAGCAATCCGATTCATGGCGGATACTGATATACTCTTGGGAGGATTTGGATTGTTTGGTGGGCGTGGGGAATACACGGGAAAGTTGAAACTCTTGGATATAGGTCCTGATGGTGGTGAGCAGGAAGGTGATGGTGATTTACTTGCGGAAACCGAAGAAATACCTTATGAATGTGGTCCAAGGATGAAGTATCCTATGCTGTTTGAAGAACCTGTTCATCTGCAAGCTCATAGATGGTATGCAGCGTGGTGTCGAATCTCAGGGCCGAGTAGTGATTGTGGATCGTCCGGTCAAACGATGGTGACGACCGAAGATCAAGTCGTGTTTTATTTCAAATCTTCGAAAAAGTCTAACAACGGTACGGATGTCAACGCTGGGCAAGTCCCTCAGTTATTATACAAGGTCATAACACCAGAGAATCAAAGCCCACCGCGACAGGTTGATGTAACAGAACCGATTCACATTCTATCCAAAGATTTCTCCAGGTGTGTTACCAAGGAGTGCTTCCAGAGTTTGTTGTCGCTACTGCAATGGTCTTGGAATACTTTCAAGATGGGTGTTGCTGAACACAATGGTTCTCATATGTACACAGCTTTAGAATTGGATAGACTGGTGTACATCTCAAGGTCAAGTTTGAGATTAATCAGAACCTATACGAATGAGATTTATCCGAATCAAATCAATCGAAAGATTCCTTTGGAAAATGTGCATTTGGCTGAGAGCGTCGGCGATGTGCGAGTGTTGCTGAAGCAAATTTTATCGGATAGTGTGCCGATGAATAAGAAATCCAGTAAGGCAAAGCCGAAAGTAGGCGCGTTATACGCAAAGATGATTTCTAGTATTCTGGAAGAGTGTCATGCGACATTCGTTGCGTGTTTTCATGCATTTTACCCCACTGCATACCTAAAATGGACAAGTCTGTGTGATTTGCTCGCGGAGATTGACAATGAGAGTAAAACCGAGTCAATTACACCTTCAAACAATCAGAGACTTCTCAGCGCCGTCCTCTGCGCGCTTTGTGGACCAACCGTACGTCTTCGAACAACATTCCCTCTTTTAGGCAGTACTCTTCTATCAGATTCATTACATCGCGGGTTGAGTCCGTCTGATAATACCGGTCTGCCAATGATGAGCGGCTCCGATTCGCATTACTACCCGATCCTGGTGGAACAAATGAGTTACCGCAGTCAGATGGAATCTTTATCATCCGGATTTACTTGGTCTTGGCGAGAAGTCCTCGACGCTCTTTTAAATTTAATCACTGAACCGGTATATAAAGCTTTGCGTCGTGAAAAGATCACCACGCTACCGTCACTCACCCGATATTGCTGTCATTTGATGACCAGAGTAATTGCTGAGTTGGTTCATCAATGCAGCGCTACTGAAGAAGACTGGCAGAGTGGATGCGGTCGAATGATGCATATGACACCATCGAGATTCACTCGTACGAATCAATCGAGGACATGGAATACGGGGAATGGGTCTCCGGATGCGATTTGTTTCCAAGTTGACAGACCTGGTATTTCCATTGTGGGTGTGACTGTCTATGGTGGGATTGGTCATTATGAATACGAATTGGAGTTGTTGGAGGATCAGAGTTTGGTGAGTGCGAATGAGGGGCATGCGCATACGCAACGTTGGAATAGTTTGGAAATCACACGTGGTTCATTTGGCCCGGAGGATTTTGCGCCGGATATGACTGATATTAAATTCGAACGAGCAATTGCAATCAAAGAGAATATGAAGTATGCGATACGGTTGAGGAATCATGGCGGGCGTACCAATAATGGCGATGGTGGTTTAACCTCTGTCAAGGGTACGGATAATACGACGTTTACTTTCTCAACTTGTTCGCTGAGTTTCAACGGGACCACACTCACGCGTGGACAGATTCCGATGATTCTGTATTATAGTAATCCGGTGGAATGTGCGCGGACATCATCGACCAAGTTGGAACATCAAGCTAGAAAGGGTGCATTGAACATGACACAAGCAATTGTCCAAAATGCTTGTAAACTGTTTGCTCTTGCCAGGGATAGAGCAGATGAGGCACCTGCAGCTGAAATTTTATCCGGATCTGAAGTTGTGCGCACTTTACTGCCTTTGGTTATGGCTTATATTAGTCCATTGGCAACATCTGATCCAAGGGTAAGGAATATATCACATTACATAGAAATAAATTTTATATTTTTGCAATTTGTAAATTTAGAGCGCTGTCAAAATTCTTGGGTTTATCCAAGAATTACTTCCACATGTTGGGGCTCTGAATCTTCTCGCCGGTACACAATTCGATCTTGATTTGACAAACACCACGAGTCAACACTACACATGGGTGCAGTCCGACCATCCGTATAAACCTGCTACCGTTTGTAATTATCGAGTCAAATTTCCCGAGTCCGTAAAATGGATGTCGGTTGAGTTTGATCCGCAATGTGCGATGGCCCAACCGGAAGATATGCTGCAGTTGTACATACCTTGTCTACCAGGGTGCGCCACTTCCGAGGATGAGGACACGCCTCCGTTGCCGTATTGGCCGGTGGTTCACAAGTTTAGAAACTAGTAAGTAATTGATGAGAGTAATAGGCATATATAATGATGGTGATGATTTTTGACAGCAGCCAGTGGCCGCAAAACTCCATCATTCTACCGGGACACGAAGTTCTCTTCTCTCTGGAGACTGCGTCGGATTATCTGAAAGATGAGAAAGCAAGTGCGTACGGATTCAAATGCTTGGTGGTTGGTTATGAGTGGCCGCCGCCCGGATCAAACATTCAAACTTGTTTCGCCGGCCTGAAACAACTCGAAGCGGAAGTTTCTTTCCTCGGGGGAATGTGCGCGGCTAGTTTAATCAAAAAAGAACTGCAATTGCCTGTGATTGGTTTATCACGTAAGTTGTTTAAGGTTATGTTAAAGAAAATGTTAGGTTATATTGGGTTATATATTTTATGACAGGGGATGATTGTGATACTGATGTTGAAATGGCCGAATCAGTTGCTGCGCAGACATTAGCCGCACATGGAAGTCTTCTATCCAAAGGTTTGGCCCTTGCTGCTCCACCCACAGTCATGCAAGCGATGGACGGAATGATGCCGTTTGGGTAAGTGCATATTTAAATAGGAACATAATTTTATTCATTTGGTAGGGCTACAATTAGATAACATAAATTAATATCACAGAAATAATACCAACTTGCTACGAACACAAGCAGTCATGATGTGAACAAATCATCAGTGGTTATTTAGTAATTATAAGTCGGTGGTGAGCAGGTCGGCGCGTTCGACAATCACGCACAATTCGGTTTCGCGATACGTCCGCCCATCCGGTACGATCATACTCACCTTACCGTTCTTGTCGGTGGAGTTTTTATCATAACTTTTACTCCGATGCAATCGTATAAAGTAAAAACCTACGATGCTCCCAACAATGACCACCACAATGGCGCACACGCCGGCGATGATATATGCCGTGCCGCTTTTCGTATCCAACATTCCGCACCGCGTGCTTTGGAAGTGATCGACCGAAACCCATTCGTCGGAGTCCCGTTCTGACATACAGCTCAATTCCAGCGTGTTTTCATCGTGTCGAAAATACCGCTCCAGATTGCCGCATTCACACTTTTCAGTCAATTGCAGATTGACGAATACCGGCCGGAATGAGTCTTTATCCACAACTAGCGCATCCTTGCTAAGTTGATCGAAGATATTTCGTTCGAACTTAATTGTCTCGTACTCGTTGGGGTCTTCCTTATTGAGCGAGATACTTCGGAATGCGCTGTTGGCTGTGTTGTGGAATCGATTGTTCTGGATCACCACGGGTCCACGCGTTGCTACTTTGAATCCACTACCAGCGATCGCGTTGATGTGACTGTTGAGCATTTGAAAATTATATGGGTTTGTGATTGTAAAGCCAGAGGGTTTCAATGTGTCATAGACGGTAATATTATCCAACAGGAATTGATCCCGTACGGTGAGTTCGTAGAATGCGCGACTGGGGATTGTTGCGAATGCGGTGTTGGTGATGAGAAGGTTTTCGGTGGTAAACCTTTTGAAACTTTGCGTTTCCAATTGATGGAAGGTTGAACCAGTGATGCGGATGTTAAGCATTTGTTGTAGCCTGCTCACTGCGAATGATGACATGTGTTGGATGTCGCAGTTGATTATTTCGAGCAAGTTGATGCGGCCGTGGATGGCATTGTTGGCGATCAGGTCAATATTGCTGGAAATTAGGTAGACACGTATGGATGGCACGCTGGGATCCCAGTCGATGAGGTTTTCTCGATTGCGAACTGATCCCAGCCAGGAGATGCTGTCGGCTTCGAGAACGATTGATTTGATGTTCTCCAGCGTGATTGAGCGTAGACTGCGCATTTCGGCGAATGCGTTTGCACCGATTGTGATTTTACCGCAGTTGGTTATTTTAATCATTGCTACATCATAGACGGGGATTGAGTTATGTTTAATAACAAACTCCTAGCAAATATTTGAAATAATTAGTTTCTTATTAAATAATTTATATTGATTTCAAGTCATACCTCTTTGTCAGTTAGACAATCACATGTTAGTTTCGGATCACTACCACCAGTCCAATGGCAGTTGAAGTTGCGATCGTTGGTGATGTCCAGCGTGTCTTGATTATTCAATATGCAGTCGACGCAATCAAACACATTGATTAATATGATTGCGATGATTACTTTGAGCGTTGATACCGATTTCGGGCGTGTCATGGCTGCTGCCGCATACCTTGGTGCACTCTGGTTGATAATGAGCAAGCACGGCGCCTGTAATTATGAGAATCGCAAAGATTAGTCAGATGTTGTGCGCGCGCTGAGTGCAATAATCTTATCGATGGGGATTGAAATAAAAATTGAGCGTAAGCGCTCACAATGCGAGTTGGCGTGTAATGTGTTTTGCTCGAGTAGGAGTATAGCAAGGTGATAAACGTGTGTTATCAGCTGACTGATAAGAGAATGCCGTAGCGCAATCGTTTGCAATCTAGGGCAGGGGGGAAAACATTCAATTCTCGTTTGCAAACACGGTTATCTAAAAGTGTGAAAGGTTTAACGCAATATCAATAACTGCATTATATACAAAATACGTAAATTTTCTAAAAATATTTGTTTTAAAGAAATACTCCAATGATTTCGTCTTTTTTAATGTTAAAATCTGTTTTTTTTTATTTCCACGTTCAAAGTGTTGTTTTTTTTTCACGGTTTTGAGTCACGAAAATGCGGCGAAAGTGGCCATGACCATGACTAAAGTACTTTAGTCACGGCCTTGACCGTCCGTGTTTAAAGTGCGGCTTTCTGTATCTCAAAACCTTGGAAAAACTGGCGCTTCAAAGATGTTTGTGTGTGTTTGTTTGTGTCGCTTTCACACAAATACCACTCAACTAATTTTGATAAATTTTGGTATAGAGATATGTTTGGCCAAGGAAAAGAAAATAAGCTATTTTAAATCGTAAAAATATAACTTCCAGGATGCAAAATAAGGGATGAAAGTTTGTATTAAAATTTAGTCATATTTATAGTTATACTCGTATAATTCAAATTGAGATGGCGGTAAAATACATAATTAGCATTTTTAATATCTATAAAATCAGAAATAAGACAGAATTAGTGAGGATATTTAGGGTGGGTGCACCAGTGCCGCACCAGGCACCAGTAGTGCACCATTTCTACTTTTACATTAAAATATTAACGTTCTGTCGAACTTTCCGCCACTTTTTTAATATTTGATAGAACTGTCGTACTTCTATGAATCATATAGTCGTGAAAAAAACCGACAAACACGCCATCCACATCAGTTTTTAAAGCAAAATTCGTAACGACAATCGTGCACTTCGTTTCGAGCGGCCATTCTAATAAGCGACACGTCGACGGAAAGTTTTCTTAAATCAGTATAAATCTTTGTTTATATCAATTTCTGTAACCGCTTTTCTAATTAATTGCGTACTAGGCATTGTGAAGCATTAATATTAGGTTTTATTTAATCTGAAAATGCTAATTTAAATCAATAATTGCCATTGGTAAACTACTGGAACTCGAATTGAATGCTTTTCCAGTAATATACCATTTGGTCTACAATTGGTGATTTAGCTTTTTGATATATTTTTTTATTTTTTCTCTTACATGTAGGTTTACATAATGCTGCAATAAAATATTATAACAAAAAGAATACCATTATTCACAATGTTCCAGTTGTAGGCCAGTGGTTTACTACTGGTAATATCTGTACCAAGAGTTTATTCCTGTAATTGACCACCCACATTTTTGTATACAAAATGCTGCCAAAAAGAATGTTTTTTTTTTTAACTAAAAAGAGGAAGATGCGTTTAAAGCAATTGACGAAATAAGTAAAGGTGCAAATATTAGGGAAATATGTCGAAAATACAACATACCCCACAGTACGATCACAAATAAAATAAAGTAAATATAATAATAAGTAATCATTTTTCCAGAAGTACTTTCATTGATTTCATTTTATTTTGATTTATTTTATATTTTTTTATTCAAGTTAATTCATAAATATTGTGTTATAGTTATGACGCTTGTGTAAGTGCTGCGAAATTTTGATAATTATCTAGTTCTTAAATTAGTTAACAACATTATAAGCCCTGTAGCATTTAAGTATTACTTGAAACTTGTAGACTGATGAAAAATTGTGATGATTATTAGGTACATAAAAAAAAGTGGTTCACTATTGGCTCAACGTCTGGTCTACTTTATCGTTAAATAACAAGAAACCTAACAGCTATTAAGAAAATTGGAATAAGCTACATGATTCTATGGTAGACAAAGAGTATGTAGCTCTTTTTTGCACTGATAGTTGTAATAATTGAGTCACAATATCAAAATTACTTTCAAAATGACGCTTAATTGTATTATGCAAAAGATGGTCGCGAAGCGAACTGATTGTAATATTTGTTTCGCGTTTGTTTATATGAATTTTACGCTCATTGTTTGCACGATTAATCATTCGTGTGTCGCGTTAACCGCATTTTATGTCCCACAATCGCCTAAAAAATGGGACACTTGCTGCGAAATTTATTCATTCATCTAAACTTGATGAAAATACGGAAATTTTATGAATGAACAGCGGATGTCAGGCCGCAGGTTTACGTTTTACGCGATGATAACAAAATCGTAACAAAATCTCGCATGTAATTTTTGTGTTTGCGGAAAAACGTATTTTAGTGTCTGGTGCCGCGCAAAGTTGACTAAAAATACACGTGCAGATTGCGCAAATTTATCGGCTCGCCACACGCAAATAGTAATGATTTCATTATGCGCGCACACCGCGCCACAGTCGTGCCAAAAAACGCTGCGTTTGCTTAAGTTTTTCTAAGCTAACGAAGCGAAAACCAACGCTAGAAACGCGTTAATTTCCTATGGGAGCGAATTTGTCGGATGGCGCACTTCTTTTGTTTTTGTGTTGTTTTTTTTTTCGTTCTTTGGTTTATTACACTCCACGGGATTGATGCTGTGTCGAAGGAGATCGCGCACAAAGTGCGAAATGATGGTTGAAAAAGTTGAAAAGTTGGGATATTTTCAATTAGCGCTGCGAGTACTTCAAACTGATGATGTTCGATGGTCAAGTCTCAAGTGGTTGCTCGAATAGTAAATATTGACGCATCGCTTTAACACCCGCGATGGTCACTCACTCAGTTTACTCGCAACGTTTTAAGTTTTTATTTTTCTCTACTTACTTTTAGATCTCCTCGTTGTTGAGTGTAAAAAAACACCGTGTTTGAAGTTTTTGTGCGCGTCAATATTCGACTTTTCGTAGGCTTTTATCCAATTTGAGCGCACTTGACTAGCATGTTCGCCGCCGCCACCGCCGCCGAATGTTTTGACGGCGCGATTCCTCACGGTTGCTATAGAAACTGGTCACACTCGATGCGGCGATGCGGACACCCACCTCGTCGGTAGCGGACTAAACGGCAGCGACGCTGTGAATGCGATCGCCGATCGCGAGTTGTGCGGCGGAAGGGTGGGTGGTGGCGGCGGAGGACGAGATCGCACCACGGAGTTGATTACGCGCGGCGGCCGCCCACCGCCGCACGCAATTTTAACGCCTATTGTGTGAATGCAATTCGACACCGACATCGATAGCTCTACGTGCTTCGTTCGGGATGCACAATGCGCATAAAGTGTGTATTATAACAGTAAACCACGATTGCGAAACAGCTGTATTAAAACAGCGCAATCACTATAAACTAACTGATAAGGGTACTGCACTTGTCTCATAATGAATGTTTTACTGCTTGTTTTGGAAATGAAATTTTTGCACCACGACGATATCTGAAAACAAAAATTGTTTGATCAACAAGTTTCTATGGTAACGACATTTTAAAATTTGATGCGACCAATAAGAATGTCTATAATGTTACATTATGCTAAAATGCGCGACGATTTTCATTGTCGCCGAATGCAGTTTGCTCGCCGCAAGTGCTTGCACGCGGCGAACGCACTTTGCACACATTGTAATTCGTTGTAATTAATTAATTTATTGTTTGCGGTTTAGTGCCACACAGCAAGCACAACTGCACTCTGCGCGCTGGAGACTTGTAAACCACTCGGCTTTTAATTTTACGAGTTTCTAATCGAGTTTACAGATGAGATAAAAATCGGAAATTATATTTTGTGGCTTGATGTTCATATTTTCCATCATCCATCATCCCAACAGGATGAATATACTTGGCCTCGTTAAGCGTCGGCGTTGCTTTTAATTGAATTTCTCGTTGAAAGATGAGAAGTTTTGTTTGTCACTTGTCACGTTTTACTACTCACTAGGTTGTGCTGAGTAGTTTAAAAATGAGTGCAAGTAATAAAAACGTTAATTTTTAAGCGCTAAAGGTTGCGACCTGACTGGCGCATTAAGTTGCCAAGTGACAGGCACGCGTTTGAATATTTTAAGTGCAGATATGATTGGTTGAAAAAATTAGATATAAATAGTAGGCAACCAAGTATACATCAAAGAAACATGGCGTTCTAAGCTGCTACAAAACGTTTTAATTTTAACTGTGACCGTTTATTAAGCCACTTCTACGAAAAATAAATTGTAAATTTAAAATCACCACACGATTCTAATTTCAAAAATTAATATATATCTCTTGGTATTGGTAAAGTAAACACGATTACGTATTACAATTTTAATATCAAGCGATTATTAACGTATATAGCACATTAAAATGTTGCACATATTGAAAATAATACCAATATGTACAGAAACGGTCGCAGTATTTACAATTAATTTAGATTAGTGTACAGTTATTACTCATTTATAATTATCACAGTAACGCACGCTCACACTCGTGCCGCTTCATATCGTTTCGACATTAACAACATTCCTGTAGTTTCACAATTATAGAATTCCCTCATAATATATCACGAGATCATGGACATTCGGCCAATCAGTATTTACTTCGATTGCTGGGGCCTGCTTCGCCGGGTTTATCCGGAAGTGGCCGCAACGCCATCTTGCCACTTCGATTGGTGCCATTGGAAGCAAGTGTGTTTGTGTTATCCGCTTCGCTTTTGTTCTTCAGTTCGGAGTAGACGTGAACGGCGGCATCCGCCGGTTCAGAGTACTGTTGCTGCACCACCGGCGGCTGACATGGCTGATAATCGGCATCGATCAACGGTAGTTTTATTTTCTCCTCCATGACTTTGAGGAAGTCGTCGGTGTCGAGCGGTGTTGGAGCCAAGGCAGGACGTTGAGGTGCTCGATTTGGCATGTTGCCTAGTTCTTCGTACAAGTGGGCCTCTTCGTCCTGTCGATTGTTGTTCGTGTAGGATTCTTCAATGACAAATCGTTCGTATAAGATTTCGATGAGGTCTCTGGCTTTGTCGTGAGTTTCCGGATTCTTGAGTTGCTCACGTAGTTCCAGGAGCAGTTCATTGGTCAATTCTGGATAATCAATGCGGGTGTCCTCTTCGACCATCGCACCCTCATCTTCGTGTTGGGTATCATCCCCTTGGTACTTAAACCGTACACAATATCCTTTATTCCGCAGCCATAGTCCGCCTCTGATTATAATGATTATAATCGTTCCTGATAAAGCCAACACTACAAGTCCAACGATGAGTAGGATATAGGTTACTTTATGGGGGTCTTTTTCTTCTTGGATGAATGTACTGTTGCTAATTGTTTTCGTTACACCTTGATATGGCTCGCAGCTTATGTTTTGTTCCGGTCCGCATACCAGTGTTGTAAAGTTAGCCATGCTGATAAGATCCTCTTGGATCTTGAAACATGTAGCGATCACATGGTTCACTTTACAATAACTGGATTTAAGCGCTGCTTCCACATCTGTCTTACCGCCCATCAATGTGGACATCCACTCGTCCATGTGGCATCGACAGTCTTCGTGGAAACTGTTGTCGTCGAACCGGAAATGGACGACACGATGCTGTAACTCTGGGATGGAATCAAAGGCGTGCGGTTCGACGTCGTGGATTTCATTACCGCTGAAGGAAAAGCGCACGATGTCGTCGTTGAACGGCACGGAGAGGAAGGCGGCTTGCAGATGTTGAATGATATTAGACTCCATCATTACTGTGTTCCAATCACGGAAAACTAGGCTATGCGGTGAGAGCGTGGTTAGTTTGTTATTGCTGACGATTATGTTTGCCGTCACGGAACAGTTGATAGCTCCAGTGTTGATTTGTTTTATCCTAAAATAAAATATAATTTTAATATTGCCATCTATCGGGTAATAGTTGTAGGTAGTACTTACGATGAAAATTCAACGGTTATGTTGCTTATGGCCGCCATGATGGCTTGACTTTCCAGTGAGTCAACGCTACAGTTCCGTAACAGGAAGAATTTAATCAGCGTTCGCTGACTGAAAGCCCCCGAGCTTAATTTGCCGACGTATGAGTTGGCGATAGAGATGGCGCTGATTTCGTTGGCGGCGAACGCCTCCGAAGAGATGCGTTCCACATGGCAATTGGTTATCTCTATGGATGATAATGCAGAGACGAAAGCTCGACGTGGTAGGTTTGGTATTGTCACATTGTGGAATGAAATCTTAAAATTAAAAATTAAACTTAAATTTTATTTTTATTTTTAAAATGAATAACTTACATTTGTTACAATACCATGCCGCCCTCGCTCTGTCTGATTCTCAAATAGAAACGCCCCTTCAGCCAGGTTAAGTCCTTTGACATGCGTGAGTTTGATCTCTTGCAGGCGGCCGAAAACTCCATTGCGTATCTCGACCTCTTCGCAGCGGGAAATTTCGCATCTGATCGACGTCTGTAACGTAGAAAGTTTGATAGCGTTGATTAATATTAAACGGTATTTATTAGGCCGTTGTGCGTGCGGTTGTAAACTGCGTATCAAAGAGGAAGTTGTGGTCATGTTTCGTGCATAATAACAATACGACCAAGTGCGGATAATGAGCGCTCATCATGCGGTGAATAATTTTTCGGGGGCCCGACGCGACAGGCGCCACACGTCGCCATTAATTCCGGTGCGTGAACGCGCGCGAGAGTTTCGTCACGAATTTTTGACTCCTCCAACACTTTCCAACTAAACAAGATTAATTAATAACATCGCTTTTAGAATATGACTAAATTTTATTTTAGGTTGACCTATAAACGTGTGTAAATAGCGCTGCAATTTCCGCTTTGTCATCTGCCGATTTTATTATTAGCAAACAGACGTACCAGCATGTTCTTGAATGCTCTCGCTTCTAAGAGCAAATAATTGCAGCCGTTGACGCGCACGTCCAGTACGGACTCGGAGCGAATGTTGTCGAATGCCTGTTCTTTTAGGACGACCATCTTGGTGCCGTCGATGGAGAGCAGGCCGAACCCGCTGAGTTCGCGGAAACTCAGCTCGTGGATGGTGAGCAGCTTGCCGCCGACGATGTTTAACTCCATTGTATTCGGAGGGATTGAATTTTTGTACACATCGACATTCTGAAAAAAAAAAACATACAACATTTACATTATTTAAAAATTGCATGTAAATGTAGCTGAATTTGCTTCTAGTTAATTGATAATTGCGTGAAACGCATAAAAATTAGGAAAATTGAGGTCGCAAGCGAAAAGCGCGATGGTGTTTAAAACACTGATTGCGTTTTTTATTGTCCGCGTGGGCGACGCATCACATATGTACACTAACTATTCCCATTTTACTGTTTTTTAAAATACTGACTTGCGTGTCGAAGCGTTTTTACAATGGTCGGATAATTACGTGCAAGGTTACGTGTTGTAATTTCACATTCGACCGCGACTCGCCGCGCACACAATGTGTGGTTTTAATTGTTGTTATTGTGTAACCTGCAATACAAGACAAGAACTCTCACTAACGCTGAAGACGTGGAATTATGCATATTTCTCTTTTTCTTGCATAAGCAAAACGCAAACGACTATCGTTAAAAACTCGGGTGCCTCGTCTCCCAAGGCGGTCCTTAAAAAGTCCGGAGACAATTTTCTCGAGTAACAGTGCGGAAAGTCGTTTGAAATTTGAAATTAGCGAACGCATTTCCGCGCTCGTCGCCAATTGCCATTATTTTCTTATTCGTTTCCGCCCGTGGGCGATTAGGTACTACACATCGATGGGTGGGTAGTAGGTTGTTGTGGATTCTGTTCTGATTGAATGGTTTTTAATTTTGATTTATCAACCAACCTTTACTTTAGGCTTGATATTTTCTGTTTGCGTGTGTGCATTAATAATGCGCTCGGAATGATTCATGCATATCGTGTTTGTTGATTGATAAATTCATGATGTAATGTTGAATAATTGCTCAATCTCAGCCTCGCCAAGTGTAGCTTCGTGTAGTTGTAGTGGCAGTAGTCGCAGTCTGCAGGGCAATTTAATCAGCGCGATTCGTTTCGGAGTAAATTAGTCTGTTAATAAGCTCTGGTTCTAGTTCTACTAGGTTGCTTTTTTTCTGCTGTTAGATAGAAAACTAGGACGGCACAACGACGCATTTTACGGGCACAGGTATTTTACTACAGTCAACATCACGGATTTAATTTTATTTTGTCTACAATTGATGGCATTGTACACTTTTAACTGAAAACTATGCCATTAGAAAGACATTTATCATGATAGTGTTACTTTTATCACAATTTAATGTGTTTGAGACTTCCTAAGATGGCTGTTAGTCATATTTATTGTTTATTGGTACTTGTCCACGACTTCGTAATTACATTCTTATTTCTTTGACTTATTATATACTGCCTATGCCAATAATATTCTCAATTTTAATTTAAAAATTAGAATTGCTTATAATACACTTTACTACCATCTCGACTTGATTTACTTAACTATAAATAGGATTAAATTGTCATACAAACTTTCATCCCTTATTTTACACCCTCCAAGTAATTTTTTGCAACGAAAAGTAGCCTATTTGCTTTTCTATAGCTAAAACGAAGTCTGTAGAAAAATTTATCAAAATTGATTCATCCAATTTTTCGTAAATGCCTCACATATAAACAAACAAACTCAAAATCGCATTTATAATATTTATAATATGTTTCTTGGCACTTGCACTGGCGAGTCTTTGCCCCGCGGTACGTTTTAGGAATACGCAATGTTTACACACACAGCGCAACAAACCTGAACGTCCGCGGCGGAAAATATTCGTTTCCTGTTTCGGCATTCCTTCACCACGCGCGCGTGTGTATGTGAGTGAGTGATAAAATTACACGACGAGTGAGCGCATCTCTTGTTTTATTTCCTCCTTCCTGTCAATATTTACTCTTTCCAAACGTCGGAAGCACTGCTATTGACGCAATGTCAAGTTCGTTTGCGACCAGAATAGTTACGGAATTACAGTGTTACAGCCTGAGATTCAGCAGCGGACAGCGAGAAAAAAATCGATGGGAAATCGTAAAACTCGAGTCGTGCTGTTTATTTATCGCAGATGAAGAGAGGAGAGCTCCGAATGAATGAACAAACGAAGCACATACTTGTGTTTAATTAAATTGTGTTTTGTTTCATTCCATGAGCATGGGTGCTGCTTGGTTTATTTCGTTCATTCTCGTTGCGTTTCGCTTTGTTCGCGCAGCTTTTCTTGCTTTTTTTCCGGCTTTGTTCTGTATTAGGCCCCTCGTTTTACAGTGTAATTGATTATTTGTTCGAAGGGCGTCTAGGGTGTAAATACTCGGGAGGTCTCAGTGACTCGACAGCACATGCTGTGCGTGGTGTTATTTTTAAAAATGAAACTTGCGCGCACGTTGTTTGCATTTCTCGGAAAAAAAAACGCCTATAACACAAGCACTTGACTTAAGCGAAGGGCTGGCGCTGCAAATGCGATTGAAAGCTGTGTGTGCGGAATGTCGATTCGGGTCCGGCCCCGAATTAAACACGCACGTAATTATTCTATTTTGAACTGCAGCGCAGCGTTAAGTCAAGCCAAGCAAATTGCAAACTCACAAACGACGTGCCGGGTGTTTGGTTACTTTGCGAACAAGCCGCGAAGGAAATAATTACTCCGAGGGCGGGTGCGACTTTCGACGACATCGTCGTCGCCGCTACGCGTTTGATCAGTGTCATCCTGTATGACCTCTCGGAAGAGGGACTTCGAGAGTCATCACCAGCGGCATCATTAAATTGACCTTTCGCACTTACTCTTGGCTCTCCACTTGCACACAAATTGACTGCAACGAATTTAAGACGGGAATAAAACAAAAGCGTCTGAATGAGCGCCGTGGAGTGAATGAACGCATGGAATCGATCAACGAATGTGTGAACACTTCAATAATAAACGAAATTTCAGCTTGTTAGGCCCCGGTTTGCATGTTGGCATACTGAAAATAGACCGTCTTGTTGTGACGCCGAGGTGTAACTTGGTATGCATTGAATAACCACGGTTTTCGTTCAATGAACCTCATATCGGGCGTCTTAATAGACCGGAAACGTGATAAGAACATTTCGCCTAGTTTTTCCCAAGGTATAATCAGTGTTTCAGGCCTCGGGTTACAACGTAACCATGGTGTAATAAGGGTTGCATATGCCACGTTACGTGTGCTTGAAATTGTTTTACTTCTCTTTTACTTTTGATTGTTTTTTAGCACAGTTCCCGGCGAGGAATGCATGCTCATAAATCCGACGATTTAATTTTAGATCTTAATATTGTGACTGCACAAACGTAGACTTGGTAAAATCGAATCTACGCTGCAATGAAGCTGTGACCCAACTAAAATTTAAAAATATATTTACGTTTAAAGTTCAAAGCAATAGTCAAACATTAACTTTTGCGTCAATAAATAATTCCAGAGTAAAAAAAGATAAGTAAACAGTTTGATATTAGCATATGGTGCTAACGATGACTCAATAGTTTCTTCAATTTTATACATCGTGTTATCTTTTACTGTTTTTGCTCGCTAGCAAACGTAAAAATAAATTCGCAAAAAGTCGAGAAGATATTATTAGTTGGGTGGGTTCTGTTTACGATGTTTTGTCAGCTGCTTTGCTTAGTTAGAAGTTTGTGATGAGTAATTTGTGCATACCGAAAAGAAGACAATAATAAACTGATGATTACTCATGCCCGTGTGTGGTGTGATTAACGTCAAACTTGTGTTGTTACTTTGAGTCAGTTTGATTTCGTTTTTTTGTATTATTCCAAGTGTTGCGTTATTTGATTCAGCTTGGTCTAGTAGAAATGACTTTCTCGTTTCAACTTTAACTTGACTTGGCATGAAGTTCAACTTCAATCAACATTGAACTTAACTTTTACTCTTTTACAAATTGAGCAAACTTCAGTACGCATACAATTGAAACATAAAAATTGTGTTTATTATGCACGTGCGCATTTCACTACTTTCTATTCTGTATTTGAAAAATTCCAGTCGTAAAGTTTCTCAATTGATGAATACATTTGCGAAGTATTGCCTGTCAATGTTGATGAATATTCTAGGGTAGAATAAATTTTGTATAAATTGTAACAAATGTAAATATTAGCTTGAGCAAATATTATTTGATATATCAAAAATAGTGATTATATCATTAATAACATTCGCAAAATTTCATCATATAATAAAATCATCATTTATTGGGGGAAGATTAATTGCGCAGACAAACTCGCAAAAAAATATGCAATATTTCCGATAAAACTGAAGATTTTGAGAGATGTTGGGATTTGAAATGATATATAATTAAAAGTTCAGATGTATTCATCAATATATAGTCGTCAAAACAAATTATTCATGGCCAAAGATGTCAGAAATGAGCTTATTGCATTTTCCAACCAAATGGCAAGTTTAATCAAAAAATCCATAAAAACGTCTTCGCCTCTTTTTCTTAAGCAACATACTGATAATCGAGATTTTTCTGGGAAATTGATAAGTTTTTTACATGTTAAAAATATAACATCAGAAAATAGAAACAAGTTAACAAAGTAAAAACTAAAAATAATACAGAAGAACATATTTTTAAACCTCTTATAACAATGTTAAGCCGACATCGTACTTACGAGTATCATGATTTACTTTTCTGCTATTAGTCATGTTTCCGGAAAAATTACTTTTGTTATCATTGACAAGATTCCCCCCACTGAATGTGCGATTTGATTACTCGATTTGCCGCATGAATTAATTTAATTGCGTGCTAAATTATATCCAGCAGTGCCGATAATAACGGAGCATGGCTAGAAAGTTAAAGCAATTAAAATTCTATATACTCGGCGCCGACTTGAAACTTCCTAGTTTATTGTACTGAAATTCTACTTTCCGAGCGCAGACGGCGTCTTATTTTATAAGATAACCGATAACGAATGGTAATCTAATGTCATGAACTCGATTTTCTTTATTTAATGAAAGTCATCACTCGTATTATTACGACTCCATTCTTCTACCAGTATATTTTTATTCAATCATTCGAATGAAAATAAAAATTACATTCGACTTGTAGTTATTACTACTTTTTTTTCATCTCTAGGGGATATTTATTTTCAATTTATTTCTAATTGCTTGGCGAATGTTTTATTTTCATATTTATTTGAGTGCTTCAAAGTGTTGTTATTCGTACTTGTCATAAACTGGTAATTTACGGCCATTTAAATTTTTCTTAATTAACAGCCTCACTTCAGCGCTCATTCATGGCCAGTTGGGGGCTTCATTCTGAGTATAAACGCGCAGACGAGCGTCTCTCGTGAAATTCTAATGAAACTTACCCGAACAACGCCGGCTAGAATAAGCGAGAATGGTGCTGGAAATAAAGAAGCGGCGCGCAGAGTTTCAACTTGTGGCGCATGTGCGCGTCGCTGACTTGCTTGCTCTGCGTGGTGCATTTTTTATATTCAACAGGAAGTACCATCTCTAAAATTATAATCGGCTCTATTATGCATGTAGCATGTCGCGGTGGGCCCGAGTGTCGGAGACAGAGAAATAGACAAGTGAGTAAGTACAACGCGTTGTAATTTAGCTCAATTTTCGACCAAATCTCAGCGTATTACCCACAATTATGGCTGGTTTTTATAATCTTTTGACCTAATTAATAATGGCCGTTGAGTAAACCTGAAAAACTGGTCAACTTCACTCGTCGCCGCGGACTAAATTTAACATTTTTTTGAATTTTTGAACATTTTAAGTGTCTGTCGAGTTTCGTTGTGAAATATTGGTTAATTATCAATATTACCACACACTGAGGCTGTGTGTGGATACAAACTATAAAACACCACATGGTTTGGTATAATAAATGGTTGTCTTCGCCCTCGATACGGGCCCTACTTAAATTCATATAGAAAAAATCTAAAGAAAAAACACGAATGACGTAAAACAGGAGCTCGTGTCTTCCACACTCCACTTGCGTCGACATTTCATACACTTGCAGTTGACTTAAGACCCGCGCGTTGAGTATGAAAAGCATTAACCGATCTATAAAATGGTTTGCTTGGTGGTTAGTGTTATGGCGATGAAAAGAAATGAAATGAAGAGTGTTGCCAAGGGGCGACCGAGACCAGTGAGTGAGTGCAACCTGTTTCTTGCCTCGAAAGAAACTCTTCGTTGTGCTTCTTTATCGAAGAGACGGTTAAAAACCATTAAGCTTTACTTTTTATGTTGTTGTGTACGTACAAGGTGTTGCGTAAATTATACAACGCCTCATTAGCTCGCTTTGTGCTTACATTCGCCGGACGTGCTGAAAATGACCTGTAGATATTGTTGATGCGCGTTATGAACGTAAACTTGCTTCCAGTTGCACGAGAAGAAGGTAAAAGGTAAAAATCATCGGATCAGCAAGCACCATCAACATGTTAAGACCTGAGATGTTTTAAATTCAAGGTTTAAGTGTTGTTTATTTTATTTGTTGAAACATTTATTTATTTAGGTTTAGCGAAAACAGTTTTGAATTTTAAATTCACGTTTGTCTCGCACCTGAGTACGTGATTTAGATTTCCGTGATTAGTTCCCGTTTCATGGCGACTTCGACTCAAACCCCAACAGGTTTAAGTTACTTACACATACAAACGCCAGACTTGTCGAGAATTGCTAAGCACACAACTGAGGCAGATAAAACATATCGTTTTATGTGAACCGTCTGAGAACCGCGACCGGAGCTCGAGTGAATTCAAGAGGGTTCGGAAACTAGGGATAATTTTACACCACGCCGTGCTGATGCAACGTAACAATGAGAGGGTGCGGCCTCCTCACGTGAAGGTATGCCAGACATAGTACGTGCAGTGCACCCTAAATTTGATTCCATCGAAATTTGAAAACTTTGCATTTATTTGACCTCAGATAAGATTTTGAATGCGCTTATGAGAATTTTATGACTGTGTCAACTGATTATTTTAATTGCCGGAAAACGTTATTACGAAAACAATGTATTCATTGCTTGCTTGCACCATAAGCAAAAACGCAATTGATAAACCGACCCGTACGGCTGTTAATCACTGCACATTACGCTTATTGCGCATGATTTGTAGTTGCTTGTTGATTTATGCCCATTATTATCCGATTTGAATGTCGCCCCCAACTTGCGCACGATTGTGTTTTCTGTTTTCGTTTATTTCTGGTTACAGTATGTTATATTTAACCTGGGAATATCTCAAGAGCGACTGCGATATTTTCTATTTCTAAGAGCAAACGATGGAAACGACGCACTCGTCGCCTGGATGTTTGTTGGCGCATAGTTATGTTTGCTTTCAATGTTTCAATGATATTACGAAGTCGAGAGATAAGTACGTATGCGAACAGTAGCGACCGGCCAAAGGCAATAATTTCTTTGTGTCCGTTTCTAACTCACAACACGCTCAAAGTCTCTCAGCACGGCGCGCAACTCGTCGACTGCGACTTTGTGAATGCATGAATATATAATTAATTTTGTTCCATTCTTGGCAGTCTGTGTTTTTTTATGTAGAATATGTATTATATAGATTATTTCAACATGTGTGAATAGAATGAATGTTTGTGTTTTTTTTTTTGCTTACTTGATCGGAGTCGAATGTGCAGTTGATGATCAACCACGCCGTCTGCGCGGTGCAGTTGCATCCGCGCACTTCGCATAATTTATAATTATCCCTGCGCTGCACGCTGATGGCACTCGTCGCCGACGTCCAGACGATCAGTAGACATATACACACACGCACCGCCGCCTCCACCGCCGAGCGGCGGCTGGCAGTCCGCTGCAAGGGCGTCATCTTGCGCGCACATTATTCGCACTTTGCCCTCGACCTCCGCATCGCATCACAACACTGATTAAAAACACAGCACAAACTTTGAATTCTAATTTTTTTTCTAAGTCTAAATATCATGTAATGTAATGTAAAAAGCCCGAGGTGCGCGGCCGCGCGCACTGACGAACTGACTGAGCAGGTCTGAAAGCTTCCGATTGCGACTCGTTTGTGTTCAAAGTTTGAAGCGGTTGAAGCGATTGAAGTAGGGGGAGTAAATAGAGACACGAGATGCGGGCTCAGGTTCTGCGACGTGCACGACTTGCACAAGTCACAAGGATAACATGTTGGCTCATGTTAGCTCGTTATTGAGACTACGGAATTGTTAGTCATCATAGTCGTACTCATTCATACCTTCTTGCTCATATGTTTTCCATGCGATACGCACGACTCATGTCTTTCTTTGCGCACCGAAACTCGTTTCAGCAATTGACTCACTTTGTATTTGTGGTAGTCCATTCAATTGGACATGATTAATGCTATTAATACGATTTGTTTATGCAGTGATTTCGTTTGTTTTATTCAACGCGCCAACCTTGTCACAAGTCACAATTAACGCATGTTCATATTTTATTGCAGTGTCCATTCGAATGAGCGTCTCTTCCTGCGGGATTTCGTCGGCTGTGTGGCAGGATCAAGCGGTGGAAGACTTGCACAATGGTTGCAGCCCGGAAGTCGCGTGGATCCATCGAAGTGTCATGTTATTTACGCGCGCGAAGAACTGCGTTGTGGCTGGCCCGCCATTATTACCGTCATTACATGCGACCAATATAAAGATGTCGTTCATGTGCCCAATATGCGCGTAGAAGTCAAAGCAATTCCAATTGATAAGAAGGAATTGGGGGATTGCGATGCCGGTCGGAAAATGCGACGGGTGAGTCAGCCCGATCCGTTGACTTTTGGTGGGTTACCACCGCCTGGTCTACATCATGCGTATGAAGCGACAACGCGTGATAAAATGTGTTTCCATTCGATAACAGTCATGAAACCATATCAGAATTACTCATTTGAAGAGTTGAGATATACTTCACCGCCGGTCAAAAGAGCTAGTGAGAATATGCTGGTGAGGCCCAATAGTGATGGTACTTATAGCGCTACCTGGACACCTGCTTCCATCGGATGCTATTCTATTTTGATTAACATCGACGGATTTGAAATGGAGGAGCAGTTTAAGGTTGAAGTAAAAGAACCTCCACAGGGTATGACACCACCTAGTCAGAATTTAGCGAAGAAATCTATTCATCAACCCAGTAAGCTAAGGAAATTTGTCGCGAAGAATTCAGCTGGGTTAAGAATACGTGCGCATCCTTCACTGCAAAGTGAACAGATTGGCGTGGTTCATGTTAATGGTACTATTGCGTTTATCGATGAGATTCATAACGATGATGGAGTTTGGTTGAGGTTATCTGCGGATACGATAAAACAATATTGTAACATACCCATAATAGAAGCATGGTGTCTGCAGTATAATCAACATTTGGGAAAGACTTTATTGTTACCTGTTGAAGAACCCAAGTCTATTTTAGATCAAGTCATCAGTGAGACAATTATGTGGAAGTTACCGGAAATTCATGATAGGAGAAAGGCTTCTACTGGTTTCCACGGTGGATATCAGGTGATTAAATGTGGTGCATCCGGGCATAATGTACGTTCTCGACCGAGTTTGAAAGCACCACCTGTTGGAATGCTCGTATTGGGTAATCGCATCGGGGTTAGTGAGTATGTGGTCAATTCAGATGGTTGTTGGGTGCATTTGGATCAGGCGACGAAAGAGAAATACTGTTTTAATACTGATGGTGAGGCGTGGTCGCTTGCGATGGGGCATAATAACACTTTGTATTTGGGGATTGTTAACCCTAAAGATATGGAGCCGTCCGTAGCAGGTGTCACCAAAAAGGGTTACGAGTTTAGTTCTTCTCCCACTCCTCCGGATAATCACTTTACGTTTAATCCTGGATTAGGACTTGCTAGTCAGGTCCCACCGCAAAAGATTGAATCTGGTGGTGCGGCTGGTAATCCCTTTGTTTTTGGGGAGGCGCCAAGAAGGGATGAATCTCCTAGAGGTGATTTACCGAAGGTCCCAAAGAGAGAAAAAAAAGAATCAAAATTATCTAGTCTACCGAAGTGGTTCAAGACTGAGGAAAATAAAGAACCTGAGTATAGTGGGGTGTCGGTCAAGGATTTAGTAAAGGCCATTGGTGAATCCAGAGCGAATGGCAATGGTGTTACTCCTCCGGATACACCGAAGAGAAGTTGTAGTCCAAGAAATGCTTCTCCAAAGTTGGGTAGTCGGTGTTCATCACCGGTTTCGATACCACAAAGGTCGGGTGGTATTGCTGGAGTTGCCGCGGAGCAAGGGGCAGGCTCTGGAGGTTCTCCGCGAAGCATTGGAGTTTCACCATTGGTAACAGGCCCGGATACTTCAGTCAGAAGTGGGTCTGATACAAGCGCGTTTGTAAGCAGTATCACAAGGGATTCTCCATCTAATCAACCTAATCTATCACCGAGTCCTAGTGGAAGTAGCCTTCATATGCGCACTGAAAGCCCTAAAGGTGAGACTTCTCTTGAGATTACCTCAGATGGTCCAGTTTCAAGTCTTTTACAAGACCAGGGAAGTCCATCAAAAAAGCTAACGCAAACGGGGACGCAGACCTCACCAGAAAACTCCAGTAATGGTCTTCCTGTCAAAGGAGGTTTTTCTATTGGAACTGCTGGACCTACAAGTAAAGAAGAACGGGTTTCACCAAAAATGATCCGTAAAGACAGATCCATCACGAAACAACGCACCAAGAGAGCAATATCCCCCGCCAATTTTCAACAACTGCCTGCAACTAGCAAAGTGCAGTATCCCACCAATGAACCCACTAAAGAAGCATTGAGTCCATCAGTAGCTGAATCTTTAAGAGCCGTTTTTGCTGCTTTCTTGTGGCATGAAGGAATCGTACACGACGCCATGGCATGTGCGTCATTTTTGAAGTTTCATCCAACTTTACCCAAAGAAGGCGCCACTGTTGTAACACGTCATAACGCAACGCATCCTTTAGAAAAACGCACCCAGGAACTTACCAAGGAAGAACGTGCGCGACAAAGACATTCGGTTGAAGTCTCCAATGCAGGCAACTATCTTCATATTCAACCGTCAACTTTAGAATCTCTGACCAGATCCGCCGCCAATGCAAGTGCGAACCGCAGTCGAAATCGGAAGTTAAACGAAACTATCAAAGAGGATGTTACAACAGATTCTACTGGGTACCAAACGCAAACTATATCAGTACTGCCGCCAGCGTTAAAATGTTTGGTGTATTTGTGGGAAGAGCTCACGACAAATTGCATGGCGGCCATTACGCAGCAGATGTTTGCATCCACACCCACACATGTGAACAAATCAAAAAAGTATGAAAAAATGTGTTCATCCAAAGACAGAGACCGTGACCGTGATAGGGATAAGGTCGACAAGGATAAGGATAAAAACATTGCGATTGAAAAGGAGTGCAAGAAAAAGAAGAAGAAACCAGTGGTCAAAAATTATTTAGACGAAATTGGATTGTCAAGTTTTCTACAGTCGGCAAATGAAAGGGAAACATTGTGCGAGTTGTGCGGGGAGTGTTTTCCACATCCTGTTACTTATCACATGAAACAATCACATCCTGGATGTGGGCATCATTCGGGTAGTAAAGGATACAACTCTGGCGGGAATTATTGTTTGGGATGGGCAGGCAATTGTGGCGAAGGTGGTGTTCGTAAGTATCAATAGATTAATATTTTGGTTAAGTATATTTCTGACATTTTATTGGTTATGTTTACAGCTGGCAGCAGTTGGTATCTGCTGTGTGAGGGATGTCGTGAGAAGTTTATGAAATCAAACAAATCACTCATCCGAAGCAAATCCAGCTCTCGTAGGAAGAGTCCTTTTGTAAGATCCTTAATTTCCCCCACTACCAGCATTGGAACGGACGCGCATATTATTATGAAAAATAACGCCATGTTTTTATTGGATCTGGCAAGTGCGGCCGATACTGGAATGTCTCCACCTCGTCGTCAATCCCAAATCATGCCGTCGGTCTCAGAAAACAATTCTCCACCGGATGTATCGGGCCCGTTTAGTCCACTACCACCATTTCAATGCCTGGAAGCCTTGGGAGCGTATTGTTTGGAAGACACACCTTTCTACGAAGAGGTTCTACGACGGCAAAGTGTGTGCGAGAATTTTCTACCAGGACCAGGTCAAACCAACGGGCAACGACCTTTATCCGACGCATCTTTACAGGATGATGGCACTGATATTTCTCGTGGATCCCGTTTTCATCGATCCGTTTCAATGGGAACTAATGGCATACCTTGGTTAAAGGCGGGTCTTGATGGGCGGGTTATAATGCTACGTAAACGCAATAATAGCAGTAGTGAAGCAATTAACGAGGGTGGGTCATCACTACTTTGTCATCCTTCTGCTACACTTCAAAAACTTGTTCCCAAAATGGACGGCTCTTCGATTGTCCCCACTAACAGCCAATCAAATCACTCCTTGAATTCTGAAAATAACCTGGAAACATTGACGCTGCTCCAAAGGCCAGTCATGATGTTTCTTGTACAGCAACATGATTTGGAATCTTTACAGCTTGCAATGAAACAAGCTCTGCGGAAGGCAATGTGTAGAGTTTACGCAATGCAGGCTCTTAACTGGTTGTTGAAATCTGTTACGCAACCTGTTTGTCTGCATGATTTGCTGTGGTGGTTTATAACTTCTCTCACACCGGTCGAATTGGAGTCGGATAGCGATGATGATAACAAACCTGTTAAGAAATTGGACGATCAAGAAATGCGTATTTGTGACCATCCATTGTCAGATATTAGCATTGCAGGAGAGGCTGTACATCCGCTGCCTAGTACTTTTCACAATTTACTACAGACCATCGCCGATCTGATGGTACTTCTACCGATGGGTTCCGCTCTGCAACAAATGGCGGTGCGATGTTGGGGATTGCGTTTTGCTCCATCAGACCATTCTTTCCTACACAGATCACAGGTGTTTAGCAATATCAGCAAGATTTTATCGAGAAGTGAGGAAATTGAAGACACCACAGTCTCTATGCATGAGAGTAGCATTCATCAACAGGTTTCCGTGGAGAGTCTGAAGGATTTAACGCCATTAGTGGAGATCAAGGCGAGCAGCCGTCAGGCAATGGTGGGGTCTTTGTTAGATGGTAGTACGGAAACGTTTTGGGAGTCAGGCGATGAGGATCGGAACAAAACAAAGAGTATTGTTATCGCTTGCGGTCAAGGACAACATCCGCGATTGGTATCTGTTCACATTGACAACTGTCGTGATTTAGCGGTGAGTTTTAATGTTTTATAACAATAAGTTTATTTATTGGCTTTACTTTTTTTTCTCACAGAACAAAGTAACAAGTGTTGTAATTTATGCTGGAACAAATTCTGACGAACTAACTAAACTACGTAACGTAGAAATTGAGACTCGGTTGGTTGGAGGTTGGGTTAACTGTCCCATAATGGAGGATCATAACGAGTGCGTGATCCGACTGGAATTTAAAGGTCCAGATAACTCCATTAGAATTAGACAAATGCGTGTTCTTGGCTACGTAGACGGTGAGAGTATAAAGGTGGGCAAACAATACAACGCCACCACCATTCAACAGCGTAATTGCGAATCGGAAACTTTGCGCGTGTTTCGGCTGATTACTTCTCAAGTATTTGGCAAACTCATTGCCGAACAACAAGCGAACGCGGATAAGGATAGTCCATCACTATCAATGAGCGAAGGAATGGATCCTTTGGAAGAGAGCAATGATTTGAAAGAACATATGGTTGGGATACTCTTCAGCAGAAGTAAACTTACTCACCTGCAAAAACAGGTGATTGTGCACATTGTTCAGGCTATTCGAAAAGAAACTATGCATTTGCGGGAAGAGTGGGAGATGAATATATACACTCTTACAACATCGACTTCCGGTTCGGGTACAGCTACTACAGGATCTACATGCGGCAGCAATCCGGAGATTGTTATTCCATACCAAGATACACCTAAGTGTTCAGATACTTATTGCTTTGAGATGTTGTCCATGGTTCTGGCACTTTCGGGAAGTTCAGTTGGGAGGTCATACTTATCCCAACAGGGTGGGCTCATTGGAGATTTGTTGAGTTTATTGCATACGGGAAGTGCCCGGGTTCAAAGGCAAGTGACTTCATTGCTAAGGCGAATACTCCCAGAAATCCCACCTGAAAACTTTGCCAAACTTGTGGGTGTGGTTAATCTTCCACCGAAAGATTTCAGCGTCGCTTGCGTTTCGAATAAGGCAGAAAATGACAAATTTGATACTAATACTCCCGGCATATTGGATATATTTTTGAGTGTTATCGCCAAGGCGCTGACCGTACAAGTTAAACTCAAAAGTAAGAATTCTTCGGGAGTTTCTGCGAAGGACATCAATACAGTCACTTTAAATGGAACTCTCAACCCTAAGGATTGTCCCAAAACAAGATGGTGGCTTCGTGGTAGTGTTAGTCAAAAGCTGGCCGAAGTCATTGTACATTTAATCAAAGATTTAGCTTCGGTAAGTTAAATTAAATGAAACAATATTACAACTAAACTATATGTTATTTAGGGTAAATTATCTGAACCATGGGCGAATATAACTAAGGGTGCCATTGCTCAGAATATTTTAAATCTTACTCAGCTCTCAGAAGATCAAAGAATACCGAATGCTTGTCTGCGTACCCCAACTTTGTGGTTAGCGTTGGCATCACTTTGTGTTTTGGAAAAGGATCACGTGGAACGCTTATCTTCTGGTCAATGGAGTAAACCGGACGGACAACCATCGCAACCGCGTCCAACGTGTACCAATCACGATGACGGCGAAACTAACGCTGTTATACAGTGCAATGTATGCGGTAATCTGTGTGCTGAATGCGATCGTTTTCTTCATTTACATCGTAAGACTCGTAATCATCAACGTCAAGTATGCAAAGAAGAGGAGGAAGCTATTAAAGTCGAATTACACGAGGGTTGTGGCCGTACAAAGTTATTCTGGTTACTTGCATTGGCAGACGCTAGAACTTTAAAGGCGTTGATTGAGTATCGTGAGGGCGGGACGCGTACAAGAGGGGCAGGTGCTACAGGAGTATGTCGTTTTTGCGGTGCAGTTGGCAGTTCTGGGTTGTTGGCGATTGGAAATGTTTGTGCCGATCAAGAGTGTCAGGTAAAAGTGATACTAATCAACATAATATATAATTTATTAACTTTGTTTTATATCTTCAGGAATATGCGAAAACTGCTTGTTCAAAGTTATTAAATTGTGGGCACATGTGCGGTGGGGTTCAAAATGAGAGCACATGTTTGCCTTGTTTGCATGGATGCTCGCAGGAAGCAACTTTACGTCAGGACGCCGACGATATGTGCATGATTTGTTTTACGGAGGCGCTGTCTTGCTCGCCTGCGATTCAATTAAAGTGCGGGCATGTTTTCCATCTGCATTGTTGCAAAGCGGTGCTTACCAAGAGATGGATTGGGCCTAGAATTACTTTTGGGTTTTCGCAATGTCCAATTTGCAAGGTAATCAATCGGAAATATTTATTGAGATGTTTTACTAACAAATTATGTTTTATTTTTATCAGGCTGGTATGGAACACGAAGTATTGAAAGACCTTCTGGCTCCCGTTGAAGATCTTTACAAGGATGTACGTCGAAAAGCATTGATGCGCTTAGAGTACGAAGGGTTGCACACAACGGAAGCTATTGTTGCGCCTGGCGCACGGTTCTATAACGACCCAGCGACGTATGCCATGGATCGCTATGCTTATTATGTTTGCTACAAGTGTAACAAGGTATAACGAATTGTTTGAAACTTTATTGCGATTGTATTTCATAACTTGAATTATTTTAATTTCTCAGGCATATTATGGTGGCGAAGCACGATGTGACGCGGAAATTGGTGAACAGTACGATCCAAGAGAGCTGGTGTGCGGTGCTTGTTCAGATGTAGCAAGAGCGCAAATGTGCCCAAAGCATGGAACAGATTTCTTGGAGTATAAATGTCGTTACTGCTGCTCAGTGGCGGTTTTCTTTTGTTTCGGTACGACGCATTTCTGTAATCCGTGTCATGACGACTTCCAGCGCGTTACCAACCTGCCGAAGAATGAATTACCGTTTTGTCCAGCTGGACCGAAAGCTAAACAACTCGAGGGCGAAGAATGTCCACTTCATGTGAAACATCCTGCCACAGGAGAGGAGTTTGCCTTGGGTTGCGGTGTCTGCCGCAACGCGCATACATTCTAACTCTTATTTATTTTACATTCTACCTTGTCTTAGGAATCGCCTATAGAATTTTTATACCTCACGATTTTCTTGAATTATGCGACTTTATGCGAATTATTTATTAAACTAGAATAATGCACAAATATATGTTGTATTTAATTAAATATGTAAGACCAGTACAACCAATTAAGGACACTACTAGCTACGAAAGCATAAACCGTTAGGAAGTGCCCTAAAATACTCGTAAAGTTTTCCTTTTCTCAAATTTTCAGTTTATCGTGAACTAATTTAGAGTCTCTCACAATGTAGTTCAAGGGAGTCTTAGTCTTACGAACCACATGATCTTTGAAACCTGAAACCCACAGGAACTACCTTCAATACAATAAAAAAGTTCAAATATTGTCAAAAAAAATTTCTGTCGAAAAACAGAGTCAAATTAGTGTTTCAAATTATTTTTTTCGAAACACAGGGCAGCAGGTAAGAAAATGATTTACGGTGAAAACAGAACTTTCCATAAAAAGCATTTTCGACTAAAATACAAGTTGAACTTTTCTTTAGATTATTTTTGGTCGAAACTTTTCGAAATCACTCAAAATGTGTCTTAACCAATAAAAACCGAACGTAACTGCGTTTCCACCATATAAAAGTAGATAATAGTAGAGATGCAGAATGAAATTTAAAGTCGTGATGTACGCGTATTAAATAGGTACTCATATAATAGAACAACTTAAAATTAATATCTAGAGTGCTATGAATGAAGGTGAGGTGTTATACACAGAGTGTTATGTATGATAGCGAGGCCGGCTAGATTTAGCAACCCGATCTTGTTTTGTTCGATTCGTGTGAATAAAGTGACCCATGATTTTCAACAGGCGAGGTTTCCTAACTGTGGTCAGTGTGATCAGACAGTAGTGAGTACTAGTCAATCAGCAACGACAGCTAGTGCCAGTGTTATAATTGTAAGAAAAGTCAGAGGCAGTGAGATTCAGGGAAGACTTATTCTAATAATTTAAACTCCGGGACTCCTATCTGTATTATTCTAGTTTAGTTTAGATCGCGGATATCGTGTCTATTGCAATTCTCGCACAAGGTCGTGTGCCATCGACGCGCCGGCTTTGCGCATCTCTTGCTTTCTTATCGTAAACTGTCGCGTCGTTGCTTGCTCGGCTACAGCATGCACTATATTTCGTGCCGGTCGGTGGTTGATCCTGACGTGTTTTGACCGACTCGTATTGTTTGTTCGGACTTGTGCTTTCTACATTCGCATTATATTCGATCATAAATCGACTACAGTGGAATCCCGGTAATCCGACAATCACTTTGCTGGTCAGTGTCGGATGAGCGAATTTGTCGGATTATTGAAAACTGCCTAAGACCTCTTACAGTCCGGAATTTTTTTCAAAAGAGTACCTTGTAATCCGACAAATTACAAAACCTAAAGTACAAACATATGGCATATGACCATGTCGGATTACAAGGATTAAGCCGTGCCGGTTTAAGTCGTGTGCGGATTACCGAGATTCCACTGTATTTAATTGTAAATACTATATTAATGTTATTTATTATTTGCGCGTTTAATGTACATTTTTGTACAAAAGTGGTGAAGTAGTCTCTGTATTTCTTGGCAGTAATGCGGATAAGGGTATTTGCTAGTGGGCGCACTGTTGTCCAGCTCTAACTCGCGAAGGGAACGTTTCTAGAGAAATTGTATTATGCTTGTATTAATAATATTCTATTAAGGGTACTCGATGAAGTAATTATAATCACATGTGCATTAATTAATTTACAAGACTCATTATGTCTTTAAATTCTGTTTTAAATAAAATCCTGAAAGCATTATTAGTGTATTGTGAATATATTCTATGTCCACATTAACACAAAGAATATCTACTTTGGTAGTTTTGAAGTTACTGTCAGCTACACACAAATAACATTTTTTCTTGCCAGACAAAAACATTTGCAGTTGCACTTGTGCATAATATTCTTTTGTTAGTTTTCCATGTCTTACATAATTCTTATATGTATCTGCTCGTGTCGGGCATTTGATTTCTATTACAAATTCGTCATATATTCCATCTGGCGAAATTGGCCACTGTAAAAGTCAATTCTCGGCAAATTTGAACTATTTGCTTTAATAAACCCACTTTCCGTTATAAAAATGTTCTTTCAAACGTTTTCAAAGACAGCAACAAGCGAATCTCGAGCAAATTACACAGAAATCAGAAATGTAAAATTTAACCAAACAATGAAGAACGCTTAAAGAAAGCATGCACGAGCATGCACGAGGTCTGTGTTCAAGCAGTACCTCAACGAGTCCAACAAGTGACGTCATGCACTCTGATTGGTGTTCGCGGTCACGTGACTTGAATGATTTTGTTGTATTTTATATTTATAATCCTTACTAATATTATAAATGCGTATGTCCTGAAGTTTATAGTGCTTTCACGCAAAAACTACTTAACAGATCATCATAAAAATTTGTACACATATTCTTAGTGGTCCCCGATAGGTTATAGGCTACTGTTTATTTAATAAAATAATTATTTTTGTAAAATAAAGAAATTTTTAGTCACTAATACCTCTGCATCTGGTTATTTGACTACTCAGCTCACACCTAAGTACTATAGTGTCATACTGTATTACCGACAGCTACGTCAACATCAAATCCGTACACATATTCTTAGTGGCCCCGATGGTCCCCGAATGGTTATAGGCTACTTTTTATTTAATAAAAATTATTTTTAAATAAATAAAGAAATTGTTTAGCCAATAATACCTCTGCATCTGGCTAATTGACTACTTTAACGCCATCTAGCATTCCATCTAAAATTTAAAACTTTATTGCATGTAGTAATTTTTTCAGATTAATCAATTGATGGATTCAACGCGATTAAAGCTAGTATTTATCATTAAGGCAAAATATTGTGATTTTCATAATTCCATAATAGAAACTATAGTGTGATTCAACATGCCTATTTGTTTATCAATATATATAATTAGGATTAGCACCTGCAAAATGACATTTTTGTATTACGATGTGCTAATTTTTTTGTCGTTATAGGTGTCTAGCAGGCGAACCAAATGATCTAGAACTACGATTTTTTCGTCCGATTGTAAGTATTAATTGAATTTGTTTCTCATTTTTGTAAATAATTTTCATGATTCATACAATGGAAAGTGTTGATGTTATTCAATTAATCGACTGTTTATTATTGCAAAAGAAATGAAAACCAATAAGATGTTAACGGATTAACATATATTGAAAAGAAACTTAAATGAGTGTACAATATAAACTTGACGTGCTTACGCTAAGACGGCTTAACAAGTAAGAGAGCGAGTACAGGGCTGCAGCATCCGTCATCCCATGCATGGTTACTTGTCCCTAACAAGTGCTACCAACATACATACATTTAAAAATATGGTGGAATTTATTTACAACAGAAAGCCGATGTCGTAAGACAACCATTATTTCATGTGATTCTAAGTGTTCTAGTTATTTACCATTGTCATATACAACATTTGTATTTAATACTAGGATAAGCTACAAAACTGCTATTTCACCACAGTACGCTAATTAAAAATCTTTTTACCAAATCTTTCTATTTGTAAACTTCACCTCATAACTTGATAACTTGCAATATATTTGTAATCGCGTTTCTGTCGTATGCAGATGTAAGAATGCCCCTCCAACTGCGGCTCGGTTATCAATTCTCTGGTTTGCTTAGATCGGCTTAGTCGGTTGAGCGCTGTTGCGTAGTGCGCACGTGTTTTCTTCATTAATCAAACGTGGAGACGAATTCTTGCGTTTTTTGATATTTTGTTGCATTACTAGAATCGATTGACAATCAGAGGCAGAGGCAGAGTAGTAATAGCCCAAAGACGCGCCCAACGAATGATTCGAGTGATTCCTTGAGATGCGCGCGTGGAGTCCGTCGGATATGTTCCGCTGACTATGGCTACTTACTGGGGCTCAAGTTAAATTTATGTGTTTGGTCATCAATTCTACATACAATTAGCGAAAACGTGTTTGTGCGCTTTAGTTCTTTGATAGACGAACAAAGGTGTAAGTAGTATCAAATAAAACTTAATTTAACTTTAACTTTTAAAATCCTACAGTTACCATGTTATTGCTTTATAATAATTGTAAATGTTCAGTCAATAAAGAATATTTTTAAGGAAATTTTACATTCTTATAAACAATGTGTCCCTTAGTCGTTTTCAAGTTAGGTTTAAGTCATGTTGCACTCGAAGAGTACGTAATTGTATAGCATAGTATAGTACAGTGTAGTATATATGTATGCTGTTGTTTTATTTTACTGTAAGATATGAAAACATAAATACAAGAAACCAAAAATATTTGATAAGAGCGCCGCGTGGCTCTCAGGTGTGCAGCACGTGTTGCTATATCGTAGATCGATGGTTCGATCCCCAGTTATAGAAGACATTTTTCTCAAATATAAAAATAACAGGTGTAATTTGGGTTGCATATGTAAACTCAAATGAAATATAAGAGAAAATGCAATACAAGTGAAGGCAATAAGAAATGTAAGTAAATAGAGAAATAGAGAACATAGAACAAAAAGAAGAAGGAAGTAGTGGTAGAGTAGAGAGGAGAGAAAAGGAGATACAAGGAAGAGAACAGGAGTGGATATCAGATTTTTGAATTTTTTGGCGGCGTGTCGTTCTATAAGACAGTCCACTGCTTCGATGCGTTCATTCCTCCCGGTCCATCCTACAGCTACGATGTCTCTACGCTTCATCCCCAGGATACTCAGGCATATCAACAATTTTTATGGTGGGGGATCATCCCCCGAGTGGGAGAACTCCTTATAAGGACATTCCTTATGAGGACTTGTAAGTCGTCTCAGGACAGGCAACACTTAAAAATATTTTTACAAGTTCTGACCTGTACCTGAAATGATAGAAGGGGTACACACAAATCATAGGAGGCACAGTCACTTTTAACATTTCTTTATTGAAACATGTATACAATGAGAACTTGTAAAATATAATACTAAACAATTTATGCGTAACCATTTTAAATCTAGTTATAAGAGCAGTATAGCCCCGTACATGTAGACAAGTACCAAGGGTAAAAATAACAAAGAAAAACATATAATACTGAAGTCGCCCTTGGCTCCGGCGCCCTCTAGCGGCGAATGGGCTACGAGCACCGCCGACTAGACCGCACTAAGGACGCTAAAGACTAAGGATCCTAGAGAGCTGGGATCCTAGAGAGCTGTGCTCTTGACAAGCAGCAACACACGTCGACACACGCGTTATCAACCTCGACTAAGCGTCGTCACATTTAGTAGCGAGCTCAACCTCACAGAACAGCCATACCTTCATCAGTTAACCGATATCCAAGTCCTTGACCACTCACACATACAACCTACGCATCAATACTAACAACTTTTGCATAATTAAGTAATTAAGGAAAACTATTATACAGGGTGTTCCAAAAACAATATAATAATATTTAAAGAGAAATTGCAAAATTCGAGTGGGGAAATATATATCTAAAACCACAGTCAATGTAAACTCAAAAAATTTAAGTTGTTTGTAAAGTAGGTTTACGATCGAGATGTTTACGTGATAACGTCTTATTGGTGATATAAGTTTTTTTTGTTGCAATTGTTGTAACACTTCACTTGCACTTCACATTTTGTTTCACTGTTAAACATTCAACGAAATCTTAACCGCACAAGAAAATCTCCATTCGTTTGTATGCCGCTAGAGTGAGAGAGACGGAAGATCGGTCCACTCACTCGAACGCTATGCCTGCCTCCGCTGACTGGCAGCGCTCGAGATGAGACGGGAGATCGGTCTGTCTCTCTCTCGTTATAGCGATCGGCCTCGTGACACAAGTTTCTGAACATGTCACCCGACTAAAACGATTTTAAAGACGTTATCAAGTATTCACATGTGAACGCTTTTTCACCTGTATGTACCACCATGTGTTTAGCTACACCACCAGAACCTATGAAAGTCTTTCCACAGATTCTACAAATTTTATTTTGAGTATTAAAAACGTTTTTTTAATGCATTTATCATTAACATACTTGCATTCATATGGTCGTTCGCCGGTGTGTATCCTCTCATGCACATCTAAACCAATTTTTGTCAAAAATGCCTTGCCACAGAAGTTGCATATAAAATCGCGTTTGTTATTGTGCAAGTCAATGTGTCTCTTCAATGTGTGCCATTGTCTGAAATAAAATCAAATCCATAAGTAGTGTTTTTGGTGAGTTTTATATCATAATCTTACGAGAAACTCCGTTCGCATAAATTGCATTTGTAAGGCCGTTCACCTGTGTGAATGCGCATGTGTTTCTTAATATTATCAACTCTGTATTGTTTATTGCACACTTTGCAAACAGTCATTTTTCTGGGTAGTGTCAAACCCCTGTCTACTGTTGGTTCTTCTGTCTTGGTTTCCTCTGTATGTTGTTGTTGTTGTTGCTCTATTTGAGTTGTTTCTGAATGTGATACTGTTTCCTCTGTATTTTTAATCTGTTCTGATAGAAGCCTTTGGTGAGCCATGAAATTTTCATAGTACATTTGTGATCTGTTGCAAATCTGTTGGAATGTGTAGGCTGATGCAGCATTGTTGAAACAAGTAGTGCAGAGATACTGTGGGCCATCTTTATAATACTTAAACTAAATTTGTTGGGAATTAGGGGAAATATATGTGAAGTAATATAAGTGAATACTTACTTTTGAAATAGATTCTAGTACTTTGTATGCTTCAGTAGGTCTTTTTGATGGGATCATTGCACTTATAGAACAGGTGGTTGTTTTGTTGATTTTCTTGAGGCAAATTGCACAGAGTTTATTGCAGTCATAGCGAAAATAAAGGTTTTTAGGGTCAACTGTGTGAAGATCCATGTTTACTTTATAAATGAACCAAGTTAGTCCAAGTTTGTTGCAATTTGAACTTAGGTTATATAAAGCAATTTAATTTCTGCCACTTTATAATACTAGTAAGTAGAGTCCTACCGAAACTGGTTTCTCAGCCGAAACTGAAACCGAAGTTTCGGTTTATTTTTAGTTTTGGGTAGTTGTCTTGCTTTAACTCGAGAAGGGGGCATCTTTAGAAATGTCAAATTAAATTCTCCATGGGGTTGTATTAGTTTGTTGCAGAAGTTGTTTTTGCATCATGGGTAAATCCGAAAATTTGGTGGTGCATTTTTTTACTTAAGGGGTGAAATTGTTTGGAATTTTTTGGTA